TCAACTAAATGAACATGGGCAAGTTCAGGAATACATTTACAGCCTTAATATCAAATTAGCATAAAATATTCAAATGTCTGCATTGTGGGACTAATAAAGGATTATCTTATCAAAACAACTGATTTGCAAAATTCAAAAATAAAATCTGTGTGATTATTATGCACAAAACAAATACTTAATATCTTAGGTTATCACTTTCTGTACGTCACAATCAGAGTTTTGTGTTAGAAAGTAAATCGTGAGGCTGAAGCAGATCCACTTCAAAAGTTGAATTTACTGCTTAAGATTTAGGTGAAAGGGATCTATCGGCAGACTTATCTTTGAGTTTTTAAGACAACTGAAGGCTGCTATATGTTCTCTTTCATGTTTGGAAGGGGAGGGCTATTCAGCTGCAACATGCAAATTCACCACTAGATATCAATAAATTCTACACACTGGACTTTTAACTGAGAAACAAGCTCTTCTAGCTGATCTGAAAAACAGAAAAAAGAATCAAACAATGTTCTCACCTCCTGCACGATTCCTGTGTAAACTGAAGCATGGTCTAATCTTTATTCCCATGAGTTGCTGTATTGTTGTCACACTTACACAAACTCTCAGCATGATGGTGTTTCTGTCTACCCAGGATCAAACCTGAAAACACAATAGACTTTCAAACCTTTCTGGTGAAATTGAATTGTTTTGCCTTAATTAAATATTTCACCTTACAATTTATTCAAGGCTGAGCCCGGCTCTTGTGTTAGAAATGGTAAGCATCACAGGGACGATGTATAGTCTGCACACAAATGTATATATATTACTATATGCCATGCTAAATTGTTTAAATATGACGGTAATGCACCTTGACGTTGGTTGCAACCAGCCAATAAACAAAGTGAAGAAGAAGACAAATAACTTATTCAAATTATAATAACAATGTTATGATGATATAATTTATGCCAAATGGTGACAAATTATTAGTTAGCCAAAAATCTGATTGTTTGCAAAAGTGAATGCATTCATACACTATATGATGTCATTTTCATACTTGAGTGAATTTTTTACAGAATGCTATGAGTTTACTGTAGAGATCAGATCTGAGACATATATGAGGGAGGTGATCAGATTACATGCAAATGTGGCTGTGATCAGTGGGTGCAGATGTTGTGATGCAATCACAGCTGGCTCACGGGGGAGGAAGAACAAGGGATGTACATTCACAGGGCTTCTGGGGTCTGATTGACTCCTGCTGACCTCATCAACAAGGCCTGGGACCCTTTCACTGAACGGCACTGATGTCCCCGCCTCTGACTGTGACACTTTGACACTCTAACTTCCTGTGGCAAATAATGTAAATAATTGAGTAATTTTACTTGCACATTCCAGTCTCTAGTTTACTTACAACGTTTTGCACAATCCCTCCTTTATGTTTTTTTATATTTAAATTTGTTTCCAATTTTTTATATATGTACTTGCTCATATACACCACATTCTTATTTTGACACAGCCATACCTTCTCAATAGAACTGGTTATCCAGGATGGACAAGAACATCCTGCTTCGTAGTACTGGGAACTGTATCTGCCTTATTATATAAATACAGTCAGTGGTGCCTGCATGATGTGACACTTGAGTGCCTAAATGGACAATTGCATAATTAAACTAGGAGGGGACTGTATCGTGTTCCTGAAAATGGTTTCAAAAATCATGTAGATAAAAAAAAGATATTGCAGTATGTATATTACATATCTCCAAATTGACCACAAGTACATATACAGTACACAAGCAGCACACTGGATAAACTCGAGGGGATATTTACAAAATGTTTCTTACCGCTGCCGAAGAAGATCCTTCAAAATGAGAACGAAAGATCCTGAGGCAAAAAACCAGAGCAGCTCCACCTGTGAACCAGTGCTTTGTAAAGGCAGGTGTTTTTTTGTGGCTCTGCGGAAGTATGACGACGATCCCTGTGACATCAACCACTAGTCCGTCAACCAGAGGTTTGTTTGTTGTTTTGAATTTTTTTTTATTTTGGAGCTACTGTATATTAGAAGGACAGATGTGAACCTGATGGAGCCACGCCCACCTACACACCTGAGGAACTGTGAAAGAAGGGTTGATGATGCACTGCTTCTTCTTCTTTCAGTTAACTTGCAGATTGCACCTTAAAGGGATAGTACACCGAAAAATGAGAATTCACTCAATATCACTCGCCACTATGCTGATGGAGGGATGGTGTGTTTGAAGTGTTTCAGGGGTTAACAACATTTTAGCTCAGGCGATCTCTTCTTCAGACATAATAAAATAGCATAAAAAACATAACATGCTCATCTGGTGTCATCCAAGTGACTGTAAGCCCTGACATTCATATCTGACTTGAAACAAGGTCATTAACACCATGTTTTGAGCCTAAAAGTCTGCTGTGGTCTGCGTGCAAACTCCAGAGGATTATATCAGAGGACATTAGGCAATAAGACTGTGTGATATAATCTTAGCCTTGTTATAAGGATTTCCTCACTTCTGTTCCTTTCTATGAAGTAATGACATGACTGAGTTTTGTATTTTATAATTTCTCCATTCCTTTCTTCTCAATTATTGCTTTTACTTCTCCTTTGCCAAGTGGAACCGATATTGCTATTTCTTTTTCAAGCACACCTTTTACTAACCTAGTCAGCATATTCATTCTCTTTTTACCCCTTGTGCACAGGTACACAGCAAAAGTGAACGTCTATACTGGCCCTGTGAAGTCTGAACAAACTATGGAACAGCTCAACTGGTGAATCTTCTCTGACGCATGTTGTAGCTTCTATACTTTTTAAATTCCTTGCTGAACAGTTGCATAATACCACCCTGTCCAGTCAGACCTCTTCCACCCCAATTAACCCAATAATGGCTGCTTTTATCTCTGCTGTAAATACAGATAGGTGATTGGGTACTCATTAATATACACATCAATTCCCACATGCTCCTGCTTGTTTTTAGATCCATCTGGTGCATTCCCAGCAGTCCTGTCCCTTCAATCTTATCCAGTATGCTAGTTCAAGCTTATCTCTTGTTAACTCAGTTGGTATCACTTCTGCTTCAATGAGTATTGCATTAATAGGGGTTGTCTTAAATGCTCCTATATGCATAGCCACAGTGCTTTATACTGCAATCTAAACTTTTTGTAAATATGACTCTGCTGCTGCTCCATAAACAATGAAGCCATTGTGTATTGCAGACCTCATGCCAGCCTTGTATAATCAGTCAGCCACTGCTCATAACTATGGATGTAAAAACTTCTTTACATTTTGTCTCTAGATGGTTAATGTGTACTTTCCATTTGCTCACACAAGCAATAGAAAGCAACACATAACAACTGTGTTGAACCTATATCATGAAACAGGATACATAACATTACACTATTGTTCAACTTCAAATAAATTACAAACAATAGAGGCATGTCATAGTCAAACAATACACAGCAGTTGATAGTAATGGGGAAAAGCAGAGTGCAGAAAACACACACACACACACACACACACACACACACACACACACACACAAATACAATAAAATAAAAACATTTACATATACTTAAGAAGTAACTTCTGAGAACAAAGCATTTACCTTCATCTTATTTTTGAGGCAATAACTTTTTCACGAAGATTTTTTAACTTCAATTTCATCGGAACTACAGCTTCAAACACCTACACATTTAAATGGGAAACCATTTCAAAATAACGCTATATTTGCATTAGAAAAAGAAACACTGCATCGTGTGACATCATACATGGAGGTGTTTTGTTGTAAATTACGAGACAGTTCGTCCCTCTGTTCTTCCAAAAGACCAATCAACAGATTCCAGATAGGTTGTTATTTTTACCAAAGGTATTTTACTTTGAAAATATTGTAGGTCGTTAAAGTTTTCTTTCCGGGGTCGCCACCGTGACTTCCGTGTTGTTAGCCAGGGCCAGCAGTTAAACAACAAGGCCGAGCTCGATGTCGGTGTCAGTCTGAGGAAGAGAAAACCTGAGGCTTGTGTTGAACACTGGGCCCTGAGGTATCTGTGGGCCAGTATTCAGGTGTGTATCCGCTGCTACTGTGCAGAGACTCAGCACACAAGCTAACACGATGCTACCTGTTGGTCAGTATCCGTGTAGTTGTAGCACCGCTAACTTAGCTGCTGTTTACACCTACTGTTGGAGCTAATGGTTCTCTGTGGTCATTTTAACTGAGTGCCATTTTGTTTTTCGTAATTAAAAGACGCAGGAAACTTGGTTAACAATGCGTACCTGCTCTGTTTTAGCTTTAGCCAGTAAATGAATGTTAGGTGTAAAGTAACTAAGCTAGCTGTGTGCTCGTTGCTAGCTGTGTGCTCCTCCAGTAAATATAACATCATCGTGACACAAGCTGTTTCTGATCTGATACAATAACACGAGCTGTGGTTTCATCAGCAGTAACTAATCACAGATCTCCTCTTGTATATTAGCGCAGCACTGAATGATAGTTATAATAACATACAGCACAAATGTGTGAAACTGGTTAATTGAAAACAGACTCTGCTCGCCAGAGATTATCCTGAAGAGTCTGGTCACCACCATACACCCTTACACATACACACATGTATACAATGATATGAATGTGCAACAACACAGAACTAAATGTTGAAGTGAATATCAGCTTCAAACATTCATTGTTAGTTGGACTTTTATAGTAAAGCTCCATCCTTGGTTTTCAGCCATGTTCAAAGCTTGGTTTACAGGGACCGAGAACTCAACCCACTACGAATTAAAAAACACTTGCAAATGAAGAAAACAACTTCATTAATGTGGAGACACATGCCCTGCAAAAAGTCACATCACCTCCAAACACAGAACCATGCTGCTAAAAACAGTGTCAAGTTCCATCACCACCGACCAGTGGCAGACTTCAAAAACCTCACAAAGCATTGAACTACAGCCTGGTCCGTCACTTTCTTGAGTCCCCTGGAAACATTTTTGGTGTCTTCTTTGTAATTTGAACGTGTCTTTTTGCAGCGCATGTGTGGTCAAATAGATGAAGATGTTTTCTGAGATTGTTGCATTGTGACTTTTTGCGCTTCTGTATCTGGACGTGTTTTTTCTATTTGCATGTGTTTTCTTAATTTGCAGCGTGCTGAGCTCTCTCGGCCACGGTATGATTATTACATATTGGACATAAAAAGGAACAATATTGATTACATCTCTAGTCTATTGATTATATTGGTTAATAGTTGATGGCTCTGGTCACTTGGGACTGATTGTATTGCTTAGACTAACCAGGGGTTCTTTTAACAACTCAGAGAACAAATTTAATTTAATTACAAACTAACAGTGTTTATTACATTTAACCTATGTTGTAGAGGTCATGGTGAGCTCCAGCTTGATGTTATGAAAAGCTGTTTCAGACTCAGCCTTTGCCTGAATTTAACACTTGTGGATATTCTTCTTTTGTCTGTTAGGATTGGCAAATTACTGTTTATGATGCACTGCACAACAATGTAGTTGGCTCTGAGAAATAGCTGTGGTCCTGCAATAACTGTCCCATTTCTGTGTTTAATGAAACCATTGGCATAAAATTCAACACCCATGAATGAAAGGTACTAATGGATATCACACTAAATCCTTTTTGTCATTTCAGATTTTGAATTCGCACACACAAGTCACGCTGGATGGGTTGGCTGGGGACATTTAAGGCCAGCTGTTAACGTCCTTTGCACCTGTACGGGCAGCACAATGGCCAGCCACTTCCGTAGCTACATCTGGGACCCAGTTCTCATCGTGGGCCAAATTGTGTTGATGCAGTGCATCTTCTACAGCTTCTTGGGCCTGTGGATGGCTGGAGTAGACAGTCTGGTGCCAACTAGTCGATCACTGGACCAGATCTTCAGCTATGAAGTGAGTTACTGTGTGAGATGTTCTGTCTGTGGAAACTGTTTTTTGTGTCACATTTGTTCACTTCTGAAACTAAACTAAAATGTTTGCTCTGTTGGGGCAGGCACTTGGCTTTGCAACAATGCAAGGAAGGCTGTCAATGATGGCGTTCATCTTAAACTCTCTCACCTGGTAAGTCATTTCTCCAGTTTTTTCACAATGAATCCAAGAGATGAGAGCCGTGTGTTGTAGTTCAAGGATCTTGTAATACAAACACTATAAAGGGTACAAGGGATTTATTCACACCTGCTCAACTGAAGTGCCTGCATCATAGGAAAAAACATTGTTAGTTTTTTACCTTAAAGGGGTAAAAAAAATGATTTCTATTGATTTGTTGTGTGGCAAGACTTTTTTTCAATTTGAGGTTCAACACAAGAATTTAATAATAAACATTAACAAACATAAGTGACAACACAACCTTTCGGTCTCCTTGTTCGTGCAGTGCCCTTGGACTGTGGTTCTTCATACGTCGAGGGAAACAGTGTCTGGACTTCACGGTCACTGTGCATTTCTTCCACATGATCGGCTGCTGGATCTATAACTCTCACCTTCCAGCTGTCCTGTCCTGGTGGCTCGTCAATGTAGCCTGCATGGCCTTGATGGCTGTAATTGGAGAGTACTTGTGCATGCGAACTGAGCTCAGGGCCATTCCAGTCAATAGTGCACCCAAGTCTAACCTGTGAATTTTTATCGACACCATGCTGAAAATCTGTGGATCGGTAACCCTCAATGGACTCACTCGATGGAGGTTTTTCCACTTTTGGTAAAAGAAATGGAACATGACCCTGCATCTGTTAGATTGTCATGCATTTCCTCTTAAACTGATACAGTGGATGAACTGATCTATTTATTCTTTGTCCTTTAAATGTTGGACAGTGTAAACTCTTGCATATTAAGATACATATTATGCTTGAAAGAAGACGTCACTTTCTGTGAAACTAACAACTATTGATAGAATTTTTTTTTGGCAACTGGTTACATATCCTCTCAAAACTAAGAACATCAGCATGATCATTCCATTTCCTCATTTTCAAACATTTTAAGATTAAAAGTGTTTTTTCCTTTTCAAATGCACTGAAAATAATAATCTGAGATTAAACAGGGCGTGCAACAGCTGTCCAAAACCAGACATTTTTCTCTTTCCTCCGTTGTGTTGCTGGAGCAGCCAACAGACATCATGACCATCATGTTACAGGATATTTTCTCACAGCAATTTTGAGATGTAAGTGTGCAAAGTTATATCTTTCCTTTCTCAGTCGCTGGATGTGAAAGCCAGATGTCCCAGTCAACAATGTGTGTAGGAGAGTTTTCTACTTTAATACGTCACCATTACAAAATCAGGCTTCATTTATCTATCTGGTTAAACTTTGTACATTCTGTTTGTTCTAGACTTTCAGTACAGTATTTTGAACAGCTTGTTTGCTTCCCTCTCTCTATGTCAATGGTGTATAATGCAGATGAGGCGGCCACTTTGGGGACAGATTATCAGCCACCAGCGGCGTTTACAAACATACAGTCACTGTTTGTGGGGATGTGACATGAAAACTCCTGAAATGTGCAGCACTTTATTATTCAGCATCAGCTTCTAAAACTCAAAATTACCTTTTTATTATGACAGCACATAACTGAATATGCAGTCTCTTGATTTGAAATCAGGTTTGTAAAGCGGATTATAAATACAATATTATGGTAATGGTACAGTTGACATTGTGATAAATTGGCTTTCTTGTTTAAGGTTAATTTTGTTCTCGTGTCTGCTCACTATATGTTGATAATTTTTTCTTAGTTTAAAACACTGGAAGTGGGTAAACAAGCTGAGCATGCTTTAAAACCAACACCAGCACCTCTTAAACTCACTGTGACATATTACCTCGGACAGGGTGGTTTTGCATTTTGTTTGTTCTTCTGATTGGCAGCAGTATTGTACAACTAAACCAATCTCCATTAAGTTTGTGCAGGGGTAGGACATGAATCATCGAACCTATTCCATTTTAAAGTGCATCCAGATAAACAGGCTGATCTGGTAATGTTTTTTCACTTGGTTTAACATGGAAAGACAGAGTGTTAGCTTTGGCAGAGGTATGCATTGTCCACCCTTCTAGTTTCTCATTGGTTTAATGCGATCAAAACCTCACAGTGATGGTCCTAATTCATTTTAAATGTGATTGTATAACTAAAATAGATGAGATATAACATATTCATCAATGAGCTTTAATAGGTGCTGGTGGTTGGATTTGGTTACCTTTGCACAGAGTATTCCTTTCCTTCCTGTTTTCTTCTGGGCTACAATTGTTCTGTACAAAGATGAGGGTGATATCGACCTGAAGGCAACTGTCAGCAAGAAAGCAAACAAGCATATACTCAAAACGTCAAATTATTCCTTTAAGGTTTTATCAAACGCATGACTCTTACTAAGCCAGTGTCTTTATTTGATTATTTGTAACCATGGTGGTGAAAGTATTCACAATACCACCATTTTATTCAGCATACATTTTTAAATAAGTTTTAAGTTTTTATTATGTAATTAAACACAAACAACTTGTGAACTGGACCTATTCATGTAATTATATTCTCTGTCTTGTTGACTATAGGCAGACGCATCACAGTTGAACATGTTTAATTGTGTTTGCAGCAGCATTAAGAATTTTTTTTTTCTTGCAGAATGCAAGTACCTCTGTGGATATGCTGTTTAATAAAACTCTACCGGTTTGGATTTATTTAAGAGAAGGGTGATTATGTCAGTCAGGAATCTGCAGGGGAAAACATAATTGGCCATTATGCTTCAGACATCAAAGATAGATCTTCTAATGAGGGTCACACCATGAGCATGTCTGTACTCCTCCTCAGGTTTTCCTCCTCGGGCTCTGACCCTTCATTTTCTCCCACCACCGCCACCGCTGGAATTGTCCAGGTGGAAAGGAGCAGATGGGAGAGCGCTAACGAGTGGAAAACTGCTGGCTGATCCTCATTACCGACACTTTGCTTCAGGGACGACTAAAAACAGAAGCTCAGTTGTAAATGAGTTGTAGAGCCAAGGACTTACTGCATTGATTAAATACGCCACTGCTTTACCACTTTGTGTCTCTAGATCTTTACCATCCCATAGTTTTCCTGAACAAATGATCACAGGCATAATATTTTAAACATGGTGCTTTATTATTACAAACATTACTTTGCCATATATTGCTTTATACAGTTTGTAAATGGTATGCTTTTCTATCAGTCAACTGAAAAACATCACATAGGTACTGACTTGATTTTACATTCAAAAGTTCTCTCCATGTTTAAACTGACTTCAGGGAGAATTATTGTGTAATGCTCATGATAACACGGTCATTTTCATGCTTTCTTAAACAGCATATAAAGATAATAAAGAGTCCTCTTTAAAGAACGGACCGTACATATTGCTCATGCTCGGAGGACACCACAACTGGTTTTGTATTCTCACCACCAGATACACAATGAATGATAATAATGCTACCACTTGTGAAACATGAAATTAAAAAAACAACTAGAACAAACATGCCAATGTAATGGGTGTGGGGGTGGGCGGCTGATGAATGTGCATAAGAAAGAATGCAGATACACTGAGGAGCTAGCGTAACTTCATGCACTGATCAATACCACTGTACGCCGTGTCCGAGGAAAGAACCGCCACAAAAACTCTCATGCATTTTTGATAAAAATAGGTGACGAATAATATTCAGGATCACGGAACTTATCTTTATTTTGATTATGCCTAGGACAACTAAAATAAATGTGCAAGTGGTGACAGTTTTGAAGAAACAAAGATGAATGCTATTGCTTATCAATTTTTTATTTGCTCTAAATCTCAGTGACTACTGCCACATGAGAAGATGTGTCACACATTTCCTAAATACTAATTTCATATGGACCATTACAACTATTTGTGCAAACGGTGTTTATTTGAGAGATTAGTCTAATCGGTGGTGGGTGATGCCAGTTACATTGTTACTAACCTCAGCACCTACTGTCCTTTTTCTTTCTATGAGACCCTCCACACTGTTCTTTCTCTTTGCTGCTTTTGCAGTTTGTGGGTTTGTAGTAAAATCAAGCCCAAGTTTCACCAAATTAAAAACATGACACAGATAAATGAAGCAGTGTGGAGTCATTTTTTGAGAAATTCATTAATTAGATAGATGATTAATCAAAATACCACGAATACAAAACCAATTGTATGGTTTTGAAAAACATTCTATTATGGCAGCTGCTATTTTGCTATTGCATACAATTTGAATTCATTAGAAGTTAATTATAGGTGCACAAATTTAAGTAAATACAGTGCATGAATATTAAAATATGATAATTTAATCATAATTTTGCTGAATTATACAGAGTCTTCTTTGAAAATCTAATCTCTGTGATAGACAACACAGTGGTGGATTCTATCTGCATACTGTTTAACATACTGTGTTTTTGCAGTAATCCGAGGTAAAGATCTGCTAATATTGTGTTTAATGCAGGTGAGAAGTTTTCAACAAAAGATAATAAAAAACACTGAACATTCACGCTCCATATTTTCCTTTTTTCACAAACATCAGCAGGTCAGGAGTTCGATGATCGATCGTAAGAGTGAACCGACATGTGGGGTGAGGCTCTGAGCGAGAGAGGGAGGAGCTGGAGGAGTGAACGTGTGTCGTCTGGTGTCAGACGTGGGTTTTTGGTGTCTTATAGCAGCCGTGCCACATCAGCCACAGTGGGCTGACATGTGGATGGGGAGAAGGGGTCAAAGGTTTCAAACAAGGGGCTTGATTGTCACTTACATACATGTGCACTGCAACTGAAAACCTGTTCAAGGGACATTCCACGTATTATGTACCTGAACATTGTTGTTGCTAACTTTGGCATCATTCTCTCACAATGATGTGTGATTTCTTTTTTTTACACCAACAACAAATGAATACAGTTTTGTGATTTTTGCTGTTTTTGGGTGGAGTGTCCCTTTAAATGTTTCCCTGTAGTGTGTTAGCTCATAACATCTTTATAGACTGGCTGTCTCCACATTTTAACACTGTAGTGAGACTAAAGCAATGTTGAGAAATATCTTATTTGCTTTTTCGCAGAGAATTTGACGAGACAGTTGCTAAATCTCTCATACTAAAACTGTTAGCTTCCTCCACAGATCATAATGTCTGCCTTCAAAAGCCTTAACACTTACTAATTAACATTCTATCTCTCATTTTCATACTCGACAAAAGTTTATTTGCCTTCTGGCATTAACTAATGTTTAAAGTAGATATGTGACAGCGGTGTATATGTTCTCAGCTAACTCCCAAAATGATGAACTATTACTTTATCTGTTGGGATAAAACCATAAAGCACATTCACAGGACACCAGCACTGTAATAAAATGAACTAGTAATCAACAAATACTTCTTTAGAAACGACCTCAGTGTTAAAGCAACACTATGTAACTCTCATTGAGCAACAGCGCCCTCTTCAGCCACATGTGATTAATTCTGTTGTGCTCCAGCGAGTTAAATGGTTTTCATGTAGACAAAACAAATCAAAGCCTATGAGGAGCTCTGATTATGTCCTGTCACTCACTGAACTGAAACACAACCGAACAGTGGACGTTACCCATGATCCCCGGCTTCTTGAAAGCACCAAACTCTGTTTAGATTCCTCATATTTTTTAAAGTTTCCTCGCTGAATATTTGAGATAAACACTGTTTTAATGACTTAAGTGACTTTCAGTCAGCACACTTCTCATGGGTGATCAAACCTGATCACCAAAGTTACATAGAGCAAGAACACACGTTCAGGTTGAGGAGCGGGAATGAAAGCGACACCATTCTCTCTACTCCAAGTCAAAGTACCATCAAACTCATTTTGATGCCTCTAAAACTTTTCATAATGTTGGTTTAAAAAACTGCACGGTATAATCTTCACACTTACAGTATTGCATTTCTGTTCTTCTTTAGGTGATAAAGGTTTCCACATTATTGTGTGGTGTTAACCCAGAGCCACAGGTGTCTGACTCTGGTTTTCATTGAATGTAAAATCCCTACAGTACTTGGAGTGTTTGCTTTCGTGTGCCTGGACTGATAAATTGGCAGGAATGTAATTTTCTCCACTACTGCACCAGCGTCTAGACATAAGTGGAGATCAAGCTGAAGTATTTGAGCGGATTTCAAACATTATTCATCACAGCAAATATTGATTGGCTTGCCACAGGCGTCCGTGGCTTTGTGTCAAAATAATCCTCGTTAAAACATTTGTCTCTCTTAAATCCTTGGCTTTAAGTTTCCCAGGGGGAATGTGAGGCCCTCCTTCCCTCTCCCTCACCCTCACCCTCACCCCCGACCCCATCTATACAGTGGGCCAGCTGGTCCCAGTCACGATCAGCATCAGCGGCAGTGTAAGTGCCGCGAGATTTGGACATATGCTGGGAGCGGAGCTGGGGCTACACAGGTCGAACAGACTTCCCTGGAAGCGCATCTTCCTGGAGTCCTGCCTCAGCGTCTCCCAGATGGAGCTGACTTCCTCCTGACAGTCGGACAGCGCTGTGAGGGCACATGTGTGGAAAGCTTCCCAGTGGCTGTGGCAAACAAAGGATCATCACACCAATGCTGCATCTGCCAGTTTTACTCACAGATCATCCTGCATGGCTATACAAGCATCCAGACATGCTCCGGCTCTTGTGGATTCATTTGCTCGCTAATAATCTATCGATGGTCTTGGATGGTTACGGTGGCTTTGAGCAAGTCAAGCTGAGCTTTAATTGCCATGGTAACTGCATCCGAGTGAAACAATATCACAGATGTTATTGCAAGTGGGCAGTTTTCTACAGAGGGCTTATGTGTAAATCTTTATCTTCAATATTCGCTGGGGTTCTAGACAACGCACAGAAACAATGACAAAAAATGTCCCTTGAATTTCATTACAGCTGCAGCGAAGTCATAAATTATTTAGCGTTATAGCTCAGTGTCTCAGCACCATTCATTTCTCTATTCTGCCTCTGAGGTTATGGCATCTCCTCCAGGATTTTGTCAGAAGATGCACATCTGTCTCTCTCTATAATTTTCCACTCAATCTTGTGCTATTTCATACAAACTGAACTGACAGACAATCTTATGCGCAGTGATTCAGATCAGTGCTTGTGTCTGTTTTTATTCCAGCCCATCATGATGGTTCTCGCCCTCTTTGAAAGTGGATTAATCAGAAAGGTTGGCCCAAATAAAAACCTTCAGGGTCTATTTGATGCTCATTACAGAGATGTCCATGAATGGAAGCTGCATGCCGTTCACACACTGAGAGAGTTATTCTCACCTGCACACGGCCGCCACTCCACTCTCACTGGTCACGTTCTCCTGATAGTTGTCCATGCTCTCTCCCAGCTCCAGGACACAGTAGGAAAAATCCCTGTAAACCTTTTCGCACTTGACATCTGCTGAGTCTCCTGACACCGAGACGGACAGGAACACTGCAAAACAGACACAGGTGACAAGTGAACAGATTTGATAAACCTGTGAAACTATTGTCTTTAATGGAGAAGTTTGAGAAATGTATCAGAAGCACTTTGTCGCTGACAAATGTACAAAGTTGCCAGGAGTCTTTGCTTTGACCCCTCACAGGCCATTTGGTATTTTTCCTCTATGTTGAGTATTTTCATTCTCTTCCTTCTCACAGCCTGACTGGTCATGATCATGCAACTTTTATAAAATCGAATACATTTTCCGACAAGTGTATTTCTTCTTTTTCTATTATTTCATCATATTTTGCAGTTTTGTGTTTCTGTGAAGCAGATTTTGTCCCAGACCGTGATCACTGCACCCCAAACATTTCTTGCACATGGAATTTAAATGCTTTGTTTAGAGCTATTTCTGGTTCAAATGCTAAAACACAGAGAAAATAGAATCGTTCCCACAAGCACAATGCAAAATGAGCACAATTAAAGCACCAAACATTCGTAAAAGTGACATTTAAGGAGGAATCCATTTTTTATTTTGTAATGTGGCATAAGAGCTTGCACACCAACACCCAAGTGGGACCACCCATGCCGTTATCTATGGCGGATGGGGCTGTTCTAGCATCAGCTGGCCACCACGGTGCAGCTCTTATCTCCATAGTGCAAAAACAGATGGAGATGCATGAAGACTACAGTGATATTTCAGATGCAGGGAGATAAGACGATGTCAGGCAGTTTTCTCTCACGGACCATCCGGAGATATCTTACCCAGAGCAAACGCAAGAATCCCTCCGATCTGCGTCGACATGTAAAATCCCATATCATCCCATATCAAGGCGAGCGGAGGAAGCTGCTCGCGAATAAAGGAAGGAGAAGCAGCGTTGAGTCACCAGGGGATGATCATCTGCACATTCTTTATGAGTGTGTCAGTGATAGAAACATGTGTGTGTGTGCGCAGTCTCCCCCTGCTCCGGTCGACTGGTGCTGACGTTCCCTGCCCCCCGGCGGGCGCTGAGCTCATCCTCTACCCCCCCCCCCCCCCCCCCCTCAGCACCGGGCAGCTCCCGCACCTCCCTGAACAGGAGCAGCCTGCACCGCACAACCCCGCAACACTCCCACCACCCCGCCGGGACCCACACACGGTGCTCGCCTCCATCAGTCACGTTATCATGTATCATGTATGCTGGTGTTATAGATTTTCACCTCTCACGCCTTCTCTTTGTGGGATCTCCATTTTATTCCACTAAGCTGCTGCCAACCACTTCAAGATCTCATTTCAAGAGACTTGAAGACATGTTTTAAATCTTTGATTGCATCTGAAATCTTTTTAAATGGTGCTGCTCCCTCATATAAAAACAGAATATATTAATATGTTGACATATCCAAAAATACACGTGTACAAGTATGTGTGCGCTGAGGTTTCATGTTAACAAATAATATTAGTTTCTTATTAGCAACTAATCTATTTCTATTATGATTCTACTCTGAAAGGACATAGATATATAGATTAGAAAGATAGATAGAATGGAAAGATAGATAAATAGTATAGAAAGATAGATAGATATTCACTAAAGGGTTTGAAATATCTGTGACTCAGGGCATTTTCATCCTAATTTCCTCATGTGACGCCATCACTGAAACTGTGCAGATGATAACATTACTGCATGTGACAGAATGAAGACCACAACAGTCGAGTAAATGAGAAATAAGAGAGCAACAAACAGGAAACAAACACTTTGTTCACCCTTTTATTGTTTCATCACAAATACTGGCAAACAATCTGAAAGACTGCATCTGGTAAAGATGTTCTGCTGAGCCTCTAACAGGCTGGTGATGAAATGAAGCTGCAGATACCTGCAGAGAACACTGTTTTAATGCTTTTTGTTCTTGCAGCTGCCATTGTCCCCACGTTAAACAAATATCACATCAAACCCAAAGGGCCCAGACCTCAGGCCATGTGACTAGATGTTAACAGCAGAGGGGAATAGTGGGTAGTAATAGTTTTAATCAACTGCATCTTTATTCACAATCACAGTGCAGGTAAGGCACAATGGTGGTTTTAAAATATGTGAATGTTTTGAAGTCATAAAATATTTTATCCTCATTATGACATGAATGACGTTAATCTTTAATCCAATTATTATCATGTCACAGCATCCCCATGGATGTATTCTATTCAGCTTTGTTTTGGGCTCAAGCTGTTCCAAATCCCTTTTGTTTCTCCATGATTTTTAATGACTACATGGTTTACCCTTTTACACACACACACACATTAAAAAATGAGCTGTAGTTCAGTCCTGTTAGTGTCAGAATACTTTGAGCAGAGATGTAGGGTCCAGAACGCTGCTTGTGACACCGACAGGAACATCAGACGGAGAGACTGAAATCCACAGAAACATCTTCAACAAACTGGTCAGGCTCCAGAAATGCTGATCCATTGTGAATGGGAATCAGGTTACTGTGGTGAGGAGATGAATTGAAAGCCTGATGGACCGTATGATGACAGATGGAAACATGGACAGTTTTATTGATCAGTTCCCGCGGCCCTCTTGGTTCGTTTCCTTGGTGATGTTTTCGGGGAAGCCTTGTCTGCAAGACAGGACGTGAGGATCAGATTTTTGTGTGTATCAGTAATATGAGCCTATTGTTATTATTATTATGTGAGACAGTTGGGGACTAATATGAACATACTCATGACATTAAGAGTCTCCTGAGGAATCCAGCTGATGTCCACATCACTCATCCCACCAGTGCCCTTCTCTATTTTCACAGGGAGTCTCTTTTTCTGCAAAACACAGGTTCAAAGACAACATCTTATCTCCAGCCATTAGCATGCTTCAATCTCAATGTTACTCTGTTTAAAGGAATGGTACAGAGGGTGGATGAGTTCATGTCCACGTTTGGAACAAACACACATATCTTAACATATGAAATTCAACAATTGAAAATGAACACATACCGTCCTCGTCTCCAGGACTTGGTATATTCCGAAGAGCATCAGGGCGACCAGTCCAGTCAGGAACACGTACATGAACATTCTGCAGAAACAAGAAAATGATCTTTGGAATAAATGTATGTTTTTGTCTGCATTTGTTTGCTTGTTTGTCAGCAGGATTATGCGAAAACTACAAAATGTGGTTTCATAAGGGGAATGTTCGGCTGTGGCGGAGGTATGTACTGTCTTAGTGTCATCTAATGTTAAAATAGATTTCTTCTTTTACAGCTCATTTCAGTATACAAAGTAGACAATCACAGTTTGTAATGAATTCAGGAGGGTGGTATGAAAACAGTTCTATGACTTCCCATCAACCTTCTGCAGTTTGCTTCCTAAATAATGAATGCAAATTTAATCAGAGCACTATTCAATCAAATGGCTGCCTTCAGTAGCAACTTCAAAACCATCTCTTGGCAAACTTCATGCATGAAATCTAATGTAGAACAATTGGTCCCAGATTTTATATTTGAGGGTGGAAAACAGTGCTTGGCGAATTTGCTGGTGACAGTTCCTGCATCTTACACCAGCAGCACAATTCTGACAACTTATATCTTTGTGCCAATTTCACACCTCCTTTTACAGGGCCTTGCATGTGCTGCAATGCTCTGGGGGAGCTGGTATTATGGAGCTTTAAAGAGCTGAATGTTGCCTCATGAGTCATTGCAAATAAGTAAAAGAAACTAGGCAAAAATAATTAGCTTTACACATTATCTACATAGAATCATTTTTCAGCTCTTCTCTCCATTTTGGCAGTGAAAGAATATAAAAGGACAAGAAGCATCATCAACATATCATTTACAAGAATGCACGTTAGGATAAAACTCTAAAAAGCCTTACGTTTCTCCATCCAGTCCTTCCTCTCTCTCAGTGATGGTGACAGTCTGGTTATAAATGGCAGTCTGGAACACATTACCCTGAAGAAAGATTTCAAGAGACTAGTGAGAAAATACCTTCAACTTTCAGGAATCTTCTTGAAACATCTCCTTAAAAATGGCATATATATGATTCAGCATTCACTATTGCTAAAGAAACAACAGTCAGTTCTCAGCAGGGAGAAAATAATGGTGAGTAAAGCGTTAGTAATACCAGTTTTATAAAACGTGAAGATAACAGAAAATATTTCTGATTATTCAAGTTTTGATTTTCAGTAAATTTTGTGGTGGCCTGTGAAAAACACTCTCTCACATGACATATTTTCACTTAAGAGTCAACCAGCCACCACAAAACATTATTTAATGAAGAATAAAACAGGATGTTTTTTTTTACAATTTTTTTATTACCTCATTGTCAAGATAGTTGAGGAGGATAACAAGACCGAATGGACGACCGGCCATGGGCTGAGCTGGGATGAACGAGTACTCAAAGGAGGCCTGAGCCTGCGGCTGCACGACTGTGTTCAGGGGCAAAGCTGTGAACTGAAAACACACACAGGTAAATGTTAATGTAATAATTGTCAGTACTGTATTCATTGTGTTCAGTGAAGGGTGGACAACAAATAAACAGATGCTAACGTATACATGAATTAAGATACAAATGCTATGGATTTTATTTGGCTTGCATCAATGCACAAATCAATTTTTTACAATCTCAATGACTTAACCAACACATGAATGCATTTTTAAATTCATTTTCTATGTATCGGATGTTTGCTGGTGGTTTTTATCTCAGATCAAACTTACATTCTGAATGTGGAACTGGAAGTCTTGGGGATAACGGAAAGAGGCCTCCAATGACTGAACAGTGAAATCCGGACTCCCCTTGTTGGTGAAACCCACCAGGAACCTCACAATCTCATTGGCAAAAAACTCTAAATGAGAAGATGGATATGATTTAATATCAAATATTAAAAGTTCAGTTATAAGTGTAGTAACAAGGCAGTTTAGGTTGTGATTTGAAACGAAGTGAAACCTCAAGAAATGAAACTGGACCAACCTTCTCCTGTCGTGAAGATGATGGTTGTGTCGGCATCAGGGTGAGAAGTTAACAGTTTATCTGCACCTTCATCAGTCTCCTCTTCCTCACCCTCCTGAAGGATGAACACAACATAGTAATGTAACCACCTTATATAAGAAATGTGTTTTGTCTCACTGCTGCATGATCAGAGATACACACCGATGCTTGTATCTGATCTTCCTCAACGAGAACCTCTTCGTCATCTTCCTCCTCATCTACGGCAGCATCTGCATCCTCATTGGTGTCCTCAGCAGAGTCTGGCTCTGCAGAGACGTGGCCTGCGTGGATCAGAGGACATGATGGCATGAGTGATGGAGGTACGTTGAATTAATATTGATATTAAGATAGGACTGGGCAATAAAACTATTTCAACAATTATAGCAATGCAATTTTTATCAATAGCAACATAACAGAAGGTTCAATATATATAGATATGATACTTATGCATTGTTTAAGCACAGTGAGGAGGTAGAACACATAATTGATCTACCTCAGATTCACAAAAAAGTTTTATCACAACCTTTACTCAGGAGCAAAAATCTGATTTTTAATATATAAGAAATATCATTTTAGATGTATCCTGATGATTATTGATATGGAACTAAAGTGAATATGTTTGTCTTGATATTATTTTTGGCCACGTCACCAAGCCTTATGTTGTGATGAGTGGAAATATCATTTGGGACAGTGTTATCATGATTGTAATGAACTGGGTCATTAATAGCATAATTTCCCTAGTAGTTCTTTTTTGGACCTCTACAGATGAGTAAAAATGGTCTTCAATAGCCAGGCCACCAAAAGGCCATATTTCATCAATACATATCAATAAAAGTTTGCTTCAGTCAAAAATATTATATGAATTTGCAATATCTCCCAGTCCTTCCTGCTTATGTGTGGAGAAAATAAGATGATAATAAATCAAAACCAGGCAGTGAGTGGTTCTGCTTACAAGAATAGACGTGATTGAAAAGGAATGATCCACTCATACTGGATCAGATGGTATCTTTTCATTAAAGCCATGTTATTTGAATGTAGCTGTCTGTAATAATCTGGATCACCTCATCAATCTAATCTGAGCGGAACAAAAACACTCGTCATCAAAAGTGTGGCAGCGGGAAGAGAAACCTACAATCATATCTATGGTGACGTGTCTTAGTGAGAGGCAGCAGCTGACTGGTTCTGCATCACACACACAGTCTGCAGAAAGAAACTCTACAGGTCATAGAGTGAAACCTAACTCCACGTCATCATTTCATATGGAAACTGCAGCTGCTCGATCTCTTTCATTCCCTTCAAAAACAAAAAGCGACGATCTCGAACTGTTCTCCGTGTGGACGGATCACATGCAGGTTAACGGAGCCGTGGAGCTGCGTGTGCGCCGCTGGGAGACTGTGCCACGTCAATACGTCCACACCGAACTAAAGTGTCCACAAAGAGACACGACGGGACCAAACCCCTTACTTACCGATGGAGAGGAGTCCACAGGGGAAGGCCAGGAGGAAGAGCAGCAGCAGCTTGGATCCCAGGTGGAACATCTTGTCGGACTTCCAGCTGGAGTTAGTAACACATCAGCGTTCAGCAGAGCAGAGGACTCCGGCCGGGCACAGGGCGGGATAAGAGCAGAGGAGGCCGGGCCGAGGTTTGTCTGCGGCACATCTGGGAGGTCCCACTCGCTTAAAGGGAAAGTTCACTGAAAAATGAAAATTCACTCATTATCTACTCACCCCTCTGCAGATGGAGGGGCTGGGTGAAGTGTTTGAGTCCACAGAACACTTCTGGAATGTCAGGGGTAAACAGCTTTGCAGCCAAATCTAATACAAGTGAAGTAAATGGTGACCACTTCTTCAAATGTAAAAAAACAACAACCGGAGAAAATCATACAGGGCCTCCATACTGCTCCTGTAGAGTCATCCAAGTGTCCGTAAGCCCCGACATTTACATTCTACTGAAAACAAGGTCATTTACACTGTGTTTTTAGCTCAACTGTCTGCTGTTATCCTCTTCTGGAGACACATCCTTTCATGGATCACATCTCCTCCAAAATGTTTGTTGCATTTCTTTGTTTGTTGATAGAGTTGGAAGGTCACACACCAGTCCGATGCAAATATTCAGCTATTGTCAAAAGCTAAATCAAAACCAGTCAGTGTTTGGTTCTGCTTACAAGAATTGATGTTATTGAAAATGAATGGATGACTCACACTGGACATGATGGTATCATTTCATTGTTGCCATATTATTTGAATTTAGCTGTCTGTAATAATCCTGATTTATCAATCTTATCTGAGCAGAACAAAAAAGAAACCAGTGAACATTGTAGAAAAGACCTCAAACCCTGTCACTGTAGCTCATGTTTGCTAAAAATATCAACTTGTAGTTGCACGTGCAGATCAGATTCCTAAAGCAGGATGAACTGTGCACAGAGAGCACAGAGCAGAACATGGGGGTCACTCTATGATAACCAGTGAGCGTAACTCAGCATGTCTAAGTAAATAAATGAGCATAGTTTAGGACTTAGAAGGTTTATTGGTAGAAACTCAATGTTATTTTCGAAATTTTGTTTTCATTAGTGTGTAATCACCTGAATACCCTCACCCTCCACACTGCCCTCTCCCACCTGGACCAGAGGAACACCTATGTGAGGATGCTGTTTATTGACTACAGTTCAGCATTCAACACTATTGTGCCCTCCAAGCTCGTCATCAAGCTCAGGAACCTCGGGCTCAACAGCACCCTCTGTGACTGGATCCTGAACTTCCTGACGGGCAGACGCCAGGCAGTGYGGATGGGGAACATCACATCCTCCAGCCGGACCCTCAACACCGGAGCCCCCCAGGGTTGCGTGCTCAGCCCTCTCCTCTACTCCCTGTTCACGCACGACTGCGTGGCCACATACAGCTCCAACACCATCATCAAGTTTGCTGACGACACCACCGTCATCGGCCTGATCACAGACGGCGACGAGACGCCTACGGAGAGGAGGTCAGAGCCCTGACATCTTGGTGCCAGGACAACAACCTCCATCTCAACRTCAGCAAAACCAAGGAGCTGATTGTGGATTACAGGAAGAAGCAGAGAGATGGACACGCCCCCATCACCATCGATGGGACTCCTGTGGAGAGAGTCAGCAGCTTCAGGTTCCTCGGGGTTCACATCACTGAGGACCTGACAGGGACCCATCACACCAGGGTTATTACAGAGACAGCTCGTCAGCGGCTCTTCTTCCTCCGCAGGCTGCGGAGGTTCAACATGGACTCCAGGATACTCTGCAACTTCTACAGATGCACCATCGAGAGTATCCTGACCGGCTGCATCACGGCCTGGAACGGCAGTTGCACCGCCTTCAACCGTAAGACTCTACAGAGGGTGGTGAAAACTGCTCAGCACATCACCAGGACGGAGCTACCATCCATGGAGGACCTCTACACCCAGCGTTGTAGGAAGATGGCTCACAGGATATTAAAAGACCCCCATCACCCCAGCAACAAATTCTTCTGTCTGCTGCCGTCTGGCAGACGGTACCACAGCATCCGGACCAAGACCACCAGACTCAGGGACAGTTTTATCCCACAGGCTATAAGACTGTTGAACTCCTGAGCTCTGTGGAAGTCACTACATCTGTTTATAGCAACATATTCATTTATTCATTTAAACATTATAATATTCATACACAAAGAACTATATTTATTTATTAAGTCTATAATAATTCTCATTCTTCTACATCTTTCTATTCATCATATTTCTAAGCTACACAAAAATAAATGAGTGCAATAATTCATATCTGTTTATACCTCCCCATAACTGCTGCTAAATCATGACTGCACATGTTTATATTCACCTTAGCACCTTATAATGTTTTATTATAATGTTTATTGGCACCTTTTAATGTTTAATTTATTTTTTGCACTAGTTAATGACATTGTACTTTCTTGTTTATTTGCACTAGTGTATTGGTATTTTGTATTTTTAGTTACTCTTATTTTATTATCTTCTGACACTATTACATGTTGAGCTGCTTGAGGTGCCTGGGATTTAAGATTTCATTGCCAACATGTACGCTGTATCTGTTGTGCAGATGACAAATAAAACCTTTGAACCTTTGAATAGGAATAATCAGTTTGTGAGCTCAGAATCAGAATCATATCCACAGAAGGAGTGGGCCCTCTTCCTCAGAGGGGTGAGGAGTGAGGGATATTCCTTGAAAACTCAAACATTTACTTCTTACTTGTGCAGATTCACCATTTAAAATAATTGTTGTAATATCATGATGTAAAGGTGGGGTTGGCACGAACTATACATCGCCCACACTACTTGCAGGAACCCACTCATCTAGTGTCGGTGGGTGGGATGTGTAATAATTCACTGAAACAGATTGGCTGGGACAACATTTATCGGACAGAATTCACGCACACCAGTAAATACACAATGTGGTACAGAGTGCAGTGCATGTGAGTGAACTGACTGAAGAATCTGATTTGAGAAACAACACCTGTGTGTCTCAGTTTCAGTCACTGTCACATGTGAATTCTTGTCCTCACAGTTTACAGCTCACTGTCAAGAAAGAATCTATTGTCATAAAACATAAAAACATTTTGATGAATGTAAAAACTAAAAGTGCCTTCTGTGCTTATATTCCTTAATATCGTTGAATGTTAGTGGAGGCTTGCAGTCACTGCAGGCACATTACTTGTCGTCTTCGATTGTCTTCTAACAATAGTTTGTGGTTTTCTGCAAAAAAACCACATCCTGTTTTGTTTGAACACTCCCTTGAAAAAAATGTTTCCGCCTTTAAAAAGCTTAAAAAACGGCAAACACCCAACAGGTGCTATAAACTTGGTCTCTTTAGCTACAGTGCAGAAAGAGGCAGATAAAGGAAGACGCAGAGAGAACTGTCCTTGCTTAAAGCTTATTTTTACGATGGCCAATGACAATGTGACACTTCCGTCTGGTAAGTTTTGAATAAAAATGAAAACTTTTGAGGTAAGAGTGGATATGAGATGTAAAGGGAATGATCACATTTGCATTTTACATGTCAATGAAAAGGAATCATGATCATGCTATCATTTGACAGAAGGTAGTAAGTTAGTCATTTAACATTACGTAAAATACAAAAACTACAAAACCTGCAATTGCGACATTCAGAAGCTTTTTCTTGACACGTTGAAATAATGAAGTTGAATTAAGTAAACACATTTGACCTCTTTTATTTATTCCATATTTGTTGGGGTTCATTTAAATATAACTTAAGTTTTCTGTATAGGCCGGGGTGACAACTTCATAATTACCCAGCACCGTGACTCTTAATGTCAGGTCATGGTTTTACCTGTGTTTACCTGTTTACCTGTGTTTTCATCTGAAAAGACAATCACAGATAGGGTTTGTAGAATGTCAGCTATTCTATATATTGACATGCTACTAAACTACAATAATTTAATCATTTTAGCATGTTTAACCTCAAATATTAAAACCAACATGTCCGTACAACTTTAAACTGTAACTTTAAACTAAATTGAAGAATTTTAAGATACCAAAGAAATCATGTCAAGCTGATAGTGAACATTTCTATGTTGTATAAGACATCTTTCAATTGATTCTGTGGTAAATAAATAGTGCATTGACTGAATACTTTTTTTACTCAGGCATGCTATAGAATCAGTGAAACATTAATCTACCACAGTGTGCAACATGGTTCTGCAAACGTGTTGCGGTGTAGGAAACTTATCCAGCATGCTTTGCTGAGAATGTATTCTTGCACCAAAAACCGTGTGCACACTTCACATATTCATGCATTTAAGTGCCTGAGGAAAACCACATCTTCTGCTTTTGATGCTTGAGTAGATCCACTGAAGAAAGTGGAACTCTTTTGCTCAAGGGAACTGCTACTTGGCTTTTTCCCATGATTTACTCTGGTGTCTTGTTTTCCCAACAGGGATGGAAACTGTCAGGAACTCTACACTGCATCTATTATGTATAATGGTTATTTTTTGCAAATCTCATTTAAAGGTCCAGTGTGTAAGATTTAGGTGAAAGGGAACTTTTGGCAGAAATTTAATGTAGAATAATCCTCATGATGTTGTCACTAGTTMGTTTCATCTAAATTGTATGAATTGTAGTTTTCTTTACYCYAGAAAAGRCYCTTTATATTTAAATACTTTATATTTACATCAAGGGGGCCCTCTCTACGGAGGCAGCCATGTTTTTTACATTAGTCCAGACTGGACAAACTAAACACCTTTTGAGTTTCTATGAAAATTAAAGGCTTCCACAGTTTCTTTTCACTTTTGGAAGGAGAGGGTGAGGTGAGGGGTGTTCAGCTGCAACATGTAATTTCAACACTAGATATCACAACATTCTACACACTGTATCTTTAAGGCTTATAAAAATTATAATTTAATAATAAAACTGTTCACTGCAAGGGCACTTCTATCTGATCCTTTGAGTTTCAAAACAAACAAACACCCAGTTGAATCAATCCCAGTCTCAATAACTGGATGAAGGAGCTTTGGTCCTTAGTGAACGTATTCCAGCCCTGGGCCAAATGCAGCTTCACATTTACAAAATCTCTCACTGAGTGGATTGAGTTTGTCACACTGACTGCACTGGCAGCTGATAAATGGATGTGTTATATACAAACACATACACACACACAAAATGTGATTTTGTTCATATTCATTGTGAAATATGTGACCTGCACTCATGTCAGGAGGATATTTAATAATGTCAAATGGCCCATAATAAATACACCTCTTTCTCTCTTTTTCTCCAGAGTTGAACAAATTGTTTTGTTCACCCCCTATGGGACTGGTGCTGTTTGGAGTTCTTGGTGCAATGCTGGTATTCTCACTATCTGTGAATATTTTCTGCTGTGTATCACAATGTTGCTCAGGTAATTTTATTATTTGCTTTTTAAAAATCCTGTTAAAACAAATGTCTGTATTTGACGGTGAATGTATTGTTCCCCAGGAAAAGGGACATGTCAAAGAAAGAGGTATGTAAAGCAAATCATGAAATGACCTGAATGTTGAGAACTCATCACCAAACTGGAGATTAAAAACAACATATCTCCTCTCTGCATATCAATCTTAAGTCGGGGTCAGAGGCAGATGGAAGAAAATCCTATTTATGGAAACATAAACTTCATGCAAACAAGTACAGGTACATTGTGTGTGAGCATGTGTATGTCTTAATGCATTTGTGTGTCTTTGTCTTTTACACATTAGCATCTGCTAACAGTATGATGATGTTTTCCATAGATGTGCCTTCGTTCAGAGATGATAATCCTCAACACTCGTCTGTGAGGGACGAACAGAGAGTGAGTTCTAAGCTTAAGTCACAGGTTCAGTCCTTAATTGCTTTTACAAAAAATTAAACCCTTACTACTTTTTCTCATCATGCTCTGCAACTGCTATTCACATCACTAGCCCTCGCAGCAACACTTTTCCATCTTCATATGGGGTAAAGAGAAGCAGCAGAAAAAATAAATGGAAGTGCAACAGGAAAAAATAACCTTTTAAAAAATAAGAGATGATGATTTTGGATTTGAATTTGCTTAAAAGTTCACTGTGAAAGTTCCCTGTGCCCATAATGATGTGGCTGAATTACCACCAACTTGTGTAGGACGATGCAAATAGTTTTAACTTGAGGAACATTTGTTGCAATATATGGGCACCAGAAATGTATGATACAAATTTTGTACTTTAAAGTCAGTGAAACTGGGACTACCAGGAAAGTTTTTAAAACACGCATCTATCACAAGAAAATGTAAATAAACTAAAAAAAAGGCACTCTTGCTGTGAAAAATATGAAAAAGCAGGGGTGCCCAGGTTTATTTCCCTCTTTGCATCAAAATGTACTATTGCACTCAAGAGCAGCTTTAGGGATTTTTTTACACATATTTTTCCAAACATACATGTTCCTTTTTTGCCTTTCTAGATATATATATATGTATTGTGATGGAAATTTATCTCGAGATGTGAAATAAAGAGTTTCTCAGACCAGAGTTATCTTTGGGTCTTTAATAGAGCTCTGCAGAGGGTTTCACACTCAGCATGAATGCTCAGAGTGGAACAACCCCGAATAGGGAAAGAAGAAGGTTTTTAACAGTCAGGTAAACAGGAAACATAAGAGACAACTGTTTCTGAGTAATAGCATGAAAAACTGAAGCCACCTGTAGTCTAGTTGAAACAAGAAGCTGTCTGCTCTTGCTTCTGTTTGAAAGAAGAAGTTTGCTACTGCCCAGATCAGGGTCAGCAAGAGGATCATCATCAAGAAAGGACATGAACTCTGAGGTTACATCTGCCAAGTGCATAGCAACAGTCATGGCATTGGATAGTTAAGGGTAAAACAGTAAAAGGTGTCTGTCTAGTTATGAAAACGTCCGTCTGCATGTATGCCTTGCAGTCCCTTTTGGGGAGCACAATTGTGTTTCTATATGAGCTATTGTTGAACACAGCACACGAGCATTGATCAGACATAGGAAAGAGTTCAAGCAAAGTTCATATGCAAGTTTTCCATTACAATATATATATATATATATGTCATAATGTTAATGGCCTTCCCCAGCTTGTTGGTTACTTCCCAAATTAGACTAAAGACAGACCAGCTGCATTGCGAGTATATACACAACACAACATTTTTGATTTTAGATGATATATATCTGACATGTCTTTATATGAGTTATTTGTCTCTCCCTCCAGACCAAACCTCAGGACTGCTATGCTAATCTGAGTCTGAAACCCCCGAGACCACAGTCTGGCCGCAGCTCTCCACAGATAAAGATGTACTCAGATGTAGCTCAGTCAGAGACTGAGATGGCCCTGGAACCAGAGAAAGAAGATGGAGGCAACACAGATGCCGTCTCCACCATGTCTGATTTATATGCGTCTGTGCAAACTCAGCGCACAAAAACAATCATCACTGCAGACACTGGAGAGGAGTATGCCAACCATCTCTGAAAAAAGGTTACAGATGCTTACATGTAACAAATGTACTTTTTGTAACATGACCTGCAGCCACTAGATAGCACTATTTGTCATCATATCACAAATGACTTCTGTGGTGATGGTGCACATACTGTATATCTCTCATGCAACTCACTGGTAGTGGATTTACTAGAGAACAATCATTCAATGCAGTTTTTGGAAGCTCATTTTGGGGTTTTACTTAAATCAAAAGAAATACAGCTGGTGTTTGGTAATGTATTAGTTAGTGAAATGATACTCATGGATTATTGAAGTGAAACGCTGCATATACATAAATATGCATTCAACATTTAGTGAAATAGCATTTTTTTCAACTTTTACTTTCTCTGTTGATCAAGTCAGGGATGTTTGTCTGCTTTGACTCATCCTAATCTCTTCAAGGTTCAATTAAGGTTGTGCACATCTGATATGTTAATGTTTAAACCTGCCTAATCAAAGAATCCTAGATGCATTTTGACCTGATACATTACTGAGACTATAGCAATTATAACAACAATGTTAAGAAATAAGACGTAAACTTTGTTAGTCTCTATCATCATAGTTTTGTTCAATAATTCAGTTGTCAGGCTCTGTAAAATTGAATTTCCTGCAACATACATTCATTAAAAACTGCTTACACTTTCACTGCGCCTCGTTACTCCAACCCATACAAACAATTTTGGTCATTACTTGGTAAATTCCATCACCAAACCATATTTATCATGTTAGTGATTACAGTCCAGGCAGTAAAATCAATGTGGAAGATAATAATTGTAATAATTAATGGTGTAGTTACAGGACAGATGGAACACTGTCCTTCAATGGAACAGAGTCGTAAACATGGGAGAGGACTGGCACTCCTTTAATTTTTTGTTTTCATTGTGTTGAATACTGTAAATCACTGCAAATCAAATTCAGAATCAATGATTTAAAATTTGACACTTTACTTCTGAAATGATGATTGATGATGGGACTTCTCTGGGTGATACAGTTACACAAGTATTGCAATGAAAATTACATCTTTTTATTATTTCCAAGTCCAACACTTCTGCCCAAATGACTAAATCACCCCCTCAGCTGCACTCTGTGTTTAGAGGTAATAAAAGGTGAACATGGTATATATCATACCTGTTACACATCAGAATATTACCATTGTCCTGAGCATGTTAGCATTCCACTTGTAGAATGAATGAGAAGCATTGCAGGGCTGAGACATACCCTGCGTTTACACTGAATATACCCCAATCAGGCAATACTCCTGTCACTCATCCTATTATATTATACACACACACACACACACACACACACGCACGCACGCACGCACACACACACACACACACACACACAGAAGAAGTGATAGAGGTGATAAATCCCCCTCCTTACACAGTCACATGTTCACCCCCTCTCATTAACACTTGGATTGAGTTGCCCCCAACAAATGAACTTTGATCACACCCCTTTCAACACACACACACTCACACACGGACTACACAACTGTTAGAGCATTGCAGACAGTGGGGGGTAAGGTCAGTCACAGCCGGCACAATCAGTCAGAATCTGAACTGGAATCTTCCTAGAGATAAAATGTAGATGTAGTCACACTCACAATGGTGTGGTGATATTAATAAAGCTAATTTAACCAAACAATCAGACCAATGTCATTATATACAACAGGGTCCGAGACCAATTTCCCTGAATCTCAGACTTTTGGACACCACTGTATGTGTCATTTTCCCCCCAAATTATCTGCAGATTCCACAAAATGTTCAAAGTAGGAGGAGGATCAAAGAAACATGAAAGCACTGTATGTCTCAGCAACTAAGAATCAGAATATAGAATTTTCATAGAACCTGCATGATTAGATAACACTTGTTGTCCTTTAGCCTCTGTTACAAATAGTATTCATGTAGATGCAAGTGACCAGAATCCTGGCAGATCATATACTTATTATCAGTTAGTTATTGCTTATTGAGTTATGGATGCAATAACCTTTTAATTGACATGCCTTTGATTCCAGTAAAGCACTTGGTTGAAGCTTTGACTAAAGTTGTACAATGAAAATCAAGCACTTTTGTGTTAACTTGCTTGCAATGTAAACTTTTGGGGTAAATCAACCAACTTTGTGCTCTGAGGACTGGAATCAAAAGCTCACTCTTTTACATTACATTTCATTTAGCTGACGCAGTTATCCAAAGCGACTTACAATAAGTGCATCAACCACTCTTTAGAGAGGTTGGCAGGACCTTTGGCAAAGCACGAGCTTTGGCCATGCTGTATGAGTGGAGCGAGGGTATCAATACTTTTTGAATGCCTATTAACATATGCTAACAGCACCAAGTATTGAAAGCTTATATCAAGTGTAGTTGATCAGAGTCTTAGTCTTGTTGGCTTGTTTAGATGTTGTCTATTCAACTGTGGAAAGATAGATACATTACTTTATTCATCCCCAAAGGGATATTAGGTTGTAACTATTTATGAGCTAATTGGGCTCCATCGACTTTCGTCAATAACCTTCAGATAAATGGAGCACTCTGGCAACTTTGGTGATTATTATGTAAAAGTGGTCATAAATCCATTCAGTGGACTCATGCATGCTGAGGCAAGTGAAATAATAATCACGTGGAGATATGACATGTCAATATAACATGATATAACATATGATAACACTGTGAATATAACAGAAAATAACACTGAGAATATATGAATTATTGTAAGTGGAGTAGCTTTACTAAAGACACCTATTAATGTATTCAAAGATAGTGGTAGTTTCAAAGATGCATAAAAATAAATAACAATAAATTGTGGAACAAGAAAGAAGTCTATACAAAGAAGAGGAATTAGTTAGATCCTGGTGCAAAGTGAGGTTATCATGGTCATCCGTTTTATAATATCAATGGGGACATCGTAAATTATGTAATCCATCAATCAGTGGTCATTGTTTAGAACCTTATTGAAAAGCAGATGATCTCGGAACAAATGCAATGCTGTTATGTTATGTTATGGGGTGGCTGTGAGGGGGTTGAGTGGTCGTCCTCCAACCAGAAGGTCGGAAGTTCAATCCCCAGTCTTCCCATCTGCATGCCAAAGTGTCCTTGGGCAAGATACTGAACCCCAAAACTGCCCAATAGAACATCAAAAAAAGTGCTAGCTATAGAAGCACTGTATGAATGTATGTGAATGGGTGAATGGAAAACTGTAGTGTAAAGCGCTTTGAGTGGTCTTCAAGACTAGAAAAGCGCTATATAAACACAACCATTTACCTTATCACAAGTGTGCTATCTAAAGTTGCTGACAACCTATATGAGTTTAACAGAACACTTACTGCCCACAGAAAGTGTTGCAGTAATCCTTAATCTCTCTATTTAGCTTTTCTTCTGCTTCATTCGTGTAGCTTTGGTTGAGTCCCTAATTAAATATATATGAGACACTGGAAAACTAAAATATAAATTATAATGTTAAATACTTAACCACTGAAGCTCTTTATTATATTTATTATTTTATTCTATATATGACGTCCAATTAATGAGGCTGATGCATACAGTATCCACTGGATAAATGTTATTTACAATGGAAATGACAAAACAGTTTTTTTTTTTTAATAAATCATTTATTTCAAATGAAATTAATAACACACCGCATATTACATAATGTATTTTTTCTATGAATACCAGTCCATTTCCATTGTACATACAAAAATGCAAACAGTTTTTTGTAAATGATTTATGTTTCAGAAACATCCAGCTCATAATCCATATATATTTTAAACATTTTATACACTTCAAAACAAATGTTCAAAATATCCATTCAAAGTTCAAAGTTCAAAGGTTTATTGTCATCTGCACAACAGATACAGCGTACATGTTTGCAATGAAAATCTTTAAAATAGTTTAGTGACAATAATTAAAACATGAAATGACTCATACAAAAACACTGACTGCTACTACTAGCAGCCATGAATACTATCTACTAATTGATTTTGCGGTTCATTGCATTCATAGGCAGTCCTTTTTCATCACAGATTACTGGGCTCTTGAAGACTACGCTCTCAAAGTCTGACGGCATGTCAAAGAAAAGCTCATCATCGAAACAGTCCTCGTCAGCTGGGGATGCCAAGCAGGGCAACTTCAGAACCAAGCCGGTGAGCAGCCCACCAACTGCAGATGCTGCAATTGTAGAGAAAATAGCTGCAACCTGGTAGAGTGCTTGTTCCTGTGCAGTGCGGCCCAAACCCGGCTTCAGTCCGGGAATCTGCATCTGCAGCTCCAGCAGCTTTTGATCTCCTGCGGGCGGAGCACGATGGGAGAAGATCTGATACATGCTGGGCCCGTATGTTTCCTCGGTGGCTAAGAGGATAGCACAGATTCCTGCTGTGGATGATATCAGGCCAGTGAGCCCATGGAGATTGTGAATTCCACACTGGTCTTGGATCCTCAGACGTTGGGCTAAAAAGGGAGTCAGGTATTTGTAGCCAAGAAAACAGGCAGTACAGCCGATGATGCCCAGGGTGTATGCTGCAGCAGGAGAAATCATCATGTCTACAGAAGCACCAACAGTCACACCACCTGCCAAAGTCACATTCTGAATGTCAGCCATTGTGAGCTTTCCTCTCTTGTTAAACACTGCAGACAGGGCGAAAGCTGTCATCGTGGATGAGCTTAGGCCTATAAAAGTATGGAGAATTGCTCTGTGTTGATCATCACCCTTAAAGGTCAGAGCAGAGTTGAATGATGGCCAGAACACCCAAAGGAACAGGGTTCCCATGACAGATAGGATATCAGATTGATAACAGGTTGTCTCTTTAGGATGTCCATTATTCAGGCTCGGGCGGAACAGAACAAATGTCACTCCAAGACCAAAGTAGCAGGCAAACAAGTGAATAAGAATAGAGCCTCCTGCATCATTGATTCTAATGTATTTCAATACAGCCCACTCTGTCACAGCAAAGACAGGGATCTCCAGCAATGCCATAACCAGGAGCTGGACAGGACTGGTCTTTCCGAGTACAGCTCCAAATGAGATGAGCACCACAGCACAGGCAAACTCTGCATTTAGCAGGTTGATCACCCCCAGGTGAATTTGACCATTGTAATAAAACTGGAAGAAACCTTGAATCAGGATGGCCCACTGGATGGAAAATGTAGCTGTAAGAAAGTTGAAGACCATTCCACTGAAGCCGTAGAATCGGAAAAAGGCGAGCAGGCAACCAAAACCTATGAAGATCATCACCTGCACGTCGGCAAAGTAGGGATAGTCGCGATACAGGGAGTTCTCCATTGGGTTGGTCTCATTGTTCTGCAGCTTAGCATTGGCATTGTCATCATAAGTGACAAAGAAAAAATACAGAACCATGATGACAACCTCCAGCACCAGCACGAGCACTGGCAAGCGCACTCTCAAACTTGTAGACGGATTCATGATAATGCACAACTCACAGTCCAGAGAGTAGCTCCCGCAGCAGCATCAACACTCCTTTTATGCTTCTGTTTTATCAGATAAGAACAGCTAATGACATTGGTTAAAGAGCCTAATGCTGACACCTACATGGTTATTTAACACTGCAGCACCAGGAGTGCAGGCTGACAACTTCCCTTAGATTCCTCAAAATGAGTCAGAAAGTTACATTACTGAAAGCAGATTTTAAGGCGATGAGGTAAAGGTAAATATTAATAAATTAATTAACTTTACTAACATTGTGGTAGTAAATGCGGTGCCACTTCCGTTTCATTCCCAATTACTTTGACTTTTCTCATGTTTTACTTTTGACATATGAAATCTAATTTGTGATACCATAGACAATTATTACATAGGTGTTTTGTATTTAATTTCATTTTCTAAAAAGTTCTGGAAAACACTCACATGGTTTTTGTCTATCATCATTTAAAGTAAGGCAGAATGATAGAGGGAAACTACTGCCCTCCACAGAATAAACCCTGCCTTCATCATGTTAGTGGGTGGGACATGGGCAACACTAAAAAGTCAAAGATGTTTTTTGCCATTTTAAATAGTTGTAATCAAACTGATGTAAGTGCTTGAATTTCATATAGGTTTGGTTTTAATTAGTTATATGATGCTATGAAAACAGGGTGACGCATCATGATTGATAGCTAATTGAGTTTATCAGCGGGACCTTGACACGGAGACTCCATCCCCTGATCGCCACTGTGCAAGCTCCAAATGATGTCATTGATGCAAAAACATGGTGTGAATTATGCTGTGTCACGTCGACCCCCCCCCAATCTCTGCTCTTTTTTAACACCTCACATCACCACAATCAGGCCCTCCCCCTGAAGAACTCTGGCGCCCCCTAGGGGAGGCGCGCCCCACCCTCTGAAAAGCCCTGGAGTAGATAATGAGCGAATTTTCATTTTTTAGGTGAACCATTCCTTTAACTCACATGCCTGTTCACACTCCGAGACAGTGGAGGCAGCAGAGGGGAAGGAAACAGGAAAGAGGCCACGGGCAGGAGGAGGAAGAGGAGGAGGAAGAGGAGGACGGGCTCCCATAGTGCTCTGCACTGCCAACGTAGGCAAACAGGAACATGGCTACCGGCGTTTAACGCAAGCTGACCGTGTTGAAACACTCTTCTGTGGCTGTACGACATCCACCGTGTCTCCGCGACAGAAGAAGCCCCTCCTCGCAGATTAAGCCAGCGGAGCCGCAGAGTCAGTGAACGCATCTTCTGCTCCTTCATCACTCACAGGTAACGGAGCCGTTAGCTTGCTCTGCTGCTAACGTTAGCATCGCCACTTCGCTGCCATTTCGAGTCACATTTAGTCGTGATGGCTCATCTGAAATCCACGTTATCATCGTCTGAGGCGACACATCATCAAGTCTCCGTACTGTCGTGGACGTGTCGTGTCAGACAGCGCAGGATGTGTACGACAGTCTGTCTGTGTTTGTGACGGGTCTGTGAGATTTGACACGACTGCAGTTCTGTGACATTTCAGTGATTTCATTTGTTTTAGACTCAGAGGTTATCCTGGCCTCATAGCTGCTTATCCAGTATTCATACAATTACAGCTGTTTACACGGAGGGAAAAGCTTGGGGTTCTCCTGACTGCATAAGATAATGATAGGTTAGAAATCCTACTCAACTTAAAAATGACAACCTTTAAATAATATTTACCTACTGGTTTGAACCCAGTAACAGATGGCTAATGGTATAAATGGTAAATAACATTTACAGATTAATCATTGATGTAAACAGTTGTTAAATTGAATTCTCATTTGGCTTATCCCTCAGATCACCCACACCAATCAGCAAACATTATCTCTGATCTAACATAAAGCTAGATTTATTATTACCGAGCAAGATTTTAATGTCTTCTTCAGTATATCAACTGTAACATGTGTTCTCATGATACGTTTTCAGAAAGCTTCAGCTGTGATCTGCTTTCCAGACAAAACACAGTCATCATAAACCAGGTTACTCTCTGTGAAGCAGGTCCATGTTGTTTTAGATGACACCATTAAAGCAGCTTCTCTCTCTGCAGTTCAGCTTCAGGTCAAAATGGCAAGTCCAAGGACCAGAAGAGTTCTGAAGGAAGTGAGAACCCAGGATGAGAATAATGTAAGTCCTCGGATGGATTTTGTGTCACCTGCCACTCTTAAAATTCACATTCTGTAATACATAGGTGTTTGAGAGGCCTGTGATGTTGCACCTGTGCACATCCCTTAAACATCCCTGTGTTCCGCCTGGGTTAAATTAATGATGAGCGTAATTTAAGATGGAATTTTAAATTCATTCATCTTTACTTACTGTATGTACAGAGGGGAAATGTGAGACTTTAATTGATGTTTTGTTGCATTGTCAAATTGTAAACCAATCAATTGTTTTCTCCTCAGTTGTGTTTTGAATGCGGGGCTTTCAACCCTCAGTGGGTTAGTGTGACCTATGGCATCTGGATTTGTCTCGAATGCTCTGGAAAGCACAGAGGCCTGGGAGTGCATCTCAGGTAAGATCGTTGAAATAGTGTTAACATGTGAGATTTGGAATCTGATAAGCTCAAATAACCAATTTAACATTATAACTCTGGTCTTTGCAAGTCAGTTTTATTCATTAAACTATACACTAAAAAAACCAGAATCCATTGAGCTTTTAGATAAACCCATCCAATACCAGTTTGCAATATGTTCCTCAAACGCATTCTTACAAGGTGCACCAACAGTAGTGGTGGATGAGTTGTGTGTGATCTCATTGATGTAAGGACTAGAGGTGTCAGAATACCTGCCTTTCATCACTGCTGACCTATTACAGCCCGATAAGTAAATAATGCTAATCTCTTCTGCTCAGTTTTGTGCGTTCTGTTACCATGGACAAGTGGAAAGATATTGAGCTGGAGAAGATGAAAGAAGGAGGAAATGGGAAATTCCGCTTGTTTCTCGAACTCCAAGACGATTATGATCCCAACTGGACTTTACAGGAGAAATATAACAGCAAAGCAGCTGCACTCTTCAGAGACAAGGTGAGCTGTGCAGACTCAAAGCTCTTTCAGATAGATGTGGATGTTCAGTTTCCTTACTGAATGAAGACAACAGATGTTTTGGAGGGGACCTATTACTTTGGGCTTCATAAGTTCTCGTTTTAGCAAAATGTCATAAATCCGTAATTGATTAATGTGCAGTTTTGTAAACATAAATGCTACAATGATTTTTGTGTCCATTCTGGTCCAAAAAGAAAATGTATTATTTTTAAATTGAACCAAAGAGGGAACTTGATTATTAAATCCTAGTTGTAATTGCGTATTCTCTGTAAATAAATGTAACCTGTCATTTAATGAGTAGGCATAATATATTGTTTATAAAAAGCTGGTTGATCAATGGTTTAACCTGTAGCTTGTACTGTGCACGTTGTTCCCCAGAATAATTCAAAGTCTTCGTGTGTACTGTGTATGACAGGTTGCAACTTTAGCTGAGGGTAAGGAGTGGTCCATTGAGACATCACCAGCCAGAAACTGGACATCTCCTCAACCCAAGATGAGCCTTTCGTCCTCTCACCGGTAAGCTTGGAAAGCATGGAAATTTTAAACATTCTCAAGCTGTGCGTAATGTCAGACACAGAACAGCCATCAAAACGGTGACTTCATATTTCTTTTGTCCAGCCCGGGAGGACCTGGACAAAACTCTGCTAAATCTAGTGACAAAGCTTTTGAAGACTGGTTGAGTGACGATGTTAATTCCTATCAGAGGTAAGACTCTCCTGAAACTTCTCTTATTATTCACTCTTCTCTTATTTCTGTCAATTACGTGTGTTCTAAAATACTCTTTAATACTTTAGTGGAGGAGGTTACAGCGGCAACCAAGAGAATCGGTATGTTGGCTTTGGCAACACAGTGACCCCGGAGAGGAAAGAGGAAGACTTCCTGAACAACGCCATGTCTTCTATTTATTCGGTAAATAGAGTTGAGTGAGTTGTTCTTTTTGTTTTTATTTTTCTTCCCCGCTGACAGTTTCTATCTTTCTTCAACAGGGATGGAGCAGTTTCACTGTTGGAGCTAGCAAGTTTGCTTCTATTGCTAAAGATAATGTAAGTGTATTTAATCAATAAATGCTGATCCTATGTATTCAACAATGGAGTCAGTATTTCTGCATATGAATGACAAAAAAAGAAGAACGATATATAATCAACAATTAATTTTCTTTTTTCACATTGAACAGACGAGTAAACTGGCAAACCAAGCAACTTTAAAGGTAAGACTGAGTCTAAGTCATCATTAACCCATGATATTTACTGATAGTAAAGGTTTTCTGTGTATAATATTAAGTAGTCCCCTCTTTTTAAGTGTTAGCATTCATAAACGCTAATTTTCTTGTTAAATCTGTCAACAACGATTCTTTGAAGGTCTAATAATTGTGTGACTAATATCTCTTTATATCTATAATGCCCTCTCTGGAGTAGTTAAAGGGCTATAAAGCGCCCCCTGAACCGGTAAAGCAGATCATATAGGTGCATGTTGCTTTTTCCATGTCATGTTATTTTGTTGAAAACACATTTTACCCATGTTCTTTATTTTTGTCAGTTTTTCATCAGTAAAACAAGCATTTTGAATGTCCTCTTTACGTGCTTCAGCTTGGATATACTAATGCGAGGCATCGTGTCCGTCTTGGTACCTGTACTTTGAGTTTATGGATAACCTGTGAAAGACAGTTGGTTGGGATAACATATATTATGAGATGGTGATTACCTCTAATCCCTATACCTTAATATAGAAATGTTGTTCACATACATCCATCGAAAATGGGTTATCCGTTTATGCATGACCGCTTTGTGTTGACTGCAAACATTGTATTATAGAGGTGTAATGGATTCAATTAAGTCATTTGTGGAAGTAGGATTTTGGTAACCATATAACATTATGACAACATGTTGCTCTGCAGAGATTAGGAGGCAGAGTATAAAGTACAGATGTTGTCTTTTAAATATCTGTAACAGCAGCTGTTAAAGTTTAAAGGCTACAATTCTTTGGAAACGAGCTGTATGCAGTGTTCTTCATCAATGTAGTTCACACTGTTGCCAGTTTATTTTTGAACCATTACATCCTCTAGTGCTTGTTAAGTGTCATGGTGAATGGGAATGATGGGTCACTTTACGCAACTGCAGAACAAACGTCTCAGTTTCCTGCTCTGCTGTGAATGTTAAACTGTGTTTCATTCAAGTGAATTCTCCCCTCTGACTTCCAACTAGGCCACAGAGTTAGGACAGACAGTAAATGAGAATATTATCAAACCTACACAAGAAAAGGTAACATTGATGTTTGAAGTTGTTGATTTGGTGATGGGTTGCAGTGCTTTAGATAATAAAAAACAGCTTCAGATGTGAATGTGCTATTTTCTACACTGCTTGTCTTCTCCAGTTTCATCTGTTTCATGTCAGTGTGCACTAAACTACAAAAGCTGCTATTTCATATCTGCAGAAAAAAGATCAAACCTTTGTCTTCCCTCAGTCACTCATGACATCTGCTGAAGAAATACAGCTGTGAACCCTTTATATGTGAGCAGGTGTGAGCCAGTGTGAAGTAACTCATCATCACAGTCACTGGAGTAAATCATCGTTTGCAGAAAAACTACGTCTTCCTGTTCACATTTCAATGTGTTAGACATGAAATGTCAATTAAAGTTGGTTTGGATGTAACATAAAATGAGACATGTTAACATTTAAACAGATCATGTCACGCGGCATCATATGTAGTCAGGATATCAACACAGCATTATCGACATTCCAAACTGTCCACACTCACATAACAAGGAAATCTGTATTTAATACAAAGATCTTATCCAAACTTTTCATCCATCTGGCAAAAATAATTGAGTGAAAGATCTCCTATACTTTTCAGCCAAGCTCGATGCAAAACATGCCATAGTCTTGGTCCTCAGTAAGATACTCTTATTTAATTCTCTTAACAACCTGGAGCTCCTCACTTGACAATCAGTTGCTCACTGGCTTCGCAGATGCAGTGTGTTTGAGCTTCTGCATCAAAATAAGCTTTGCTCTCGTCAATCTGCATGAACCAACTAATGTCACCATTTCCAAAGTCAGGGTGAGTGTTCTCCATATAAATGCTTCACATTGCTGCTCTAACTGTTGCTGTTAAGTGAGCAGCTCCTGGATGTGTCTGTATGAGCTCAAACAAGGCCGGTGGAGCTGAACAAGCTAATGATCACAAATTTAAAAAAAAAGATTTTTTACATTGGTATAAGGTTTGACTAATGGAAACACAAGTGACTGAGAGAGACTGATATTAAACAAAATGCTTTTGTCGTCTAATGTACAGTTGACATTGGTGATTTAAGTTTTCTATAGTGTGCTTCTGCAACAGTCTTCCTACTCTCTTGCAAAATGGTAGTAGCTGCATTATCTTTCTCTCTTGAGCTGAGTAACCTTTTTTTAAATTCAATTCTCGCTGATTATCCTCTTTACTAAACACATGTAATCACTTTTTTCAGAATCAGAAACAAAATGTTGTTTATCACTTGTTCTGTTTGACATATTTGTATGAAGACTGTTGTTTTTTTTAGTTTTTAATAATAGTTTGCATTAATCCAGGTGAAAGATGGCAAATTGCTAGATGAAATGACAGTCAGCATCACTGGGCTGGCAAATAAGGTAGGATGGGCAGAGGTCTGCCGTGTTACACAACAAAACCAGTCTCCTGAGCCACGAACGGTAGCCTGGACGTGACACCAGTGTCTCTCAGGCCAGATGTGCAAAAAACTGCAGAGGCAGTCCCCCTCGATATTTTAACCCTCCAAGGAGACTGGTTTTGTCAAATGATGAATGTACAATGAACAATACTAATGTAATGTAATCTCTTGTTTTTTGTTGCTGCCATTATTATTGTGGTGAGTACAATGTTAGAAAATATGAATTTTTAAGCAGTTTTATGAACTCTATATCTTAAGTTACTACACTATAGTTTCAATCTGATCCTTTTAGTATATTTAATACTGATTGTTTATTTTAGTTAACAATTATGTTAAGTTTTTGCTTCTGACTATAGTTTTCTCTTCAAAAATACTGTGCATTTGTCTTTCTTTTCTCACAAAGTTATTTTTTAAGAAAACTGCATATAAATGATATTGACTCTTGTTGTTTTGTTTTTTTAGTTCCAGGGAGCTGGTTCCAAATTGACGAATCTCTTCTCGGGAAAACCAGAAGATGGGTATGATAACATTTCTTACATCATAAAAACTCCCACATACAAAAATTCTTCGTATTACATGTTTTAATATTATGAACCATGAATGATTGAAGCATTTCTTCACATTTGGACTGTGCTCAGGTCTGCTGGAGAAAGCTATCAGAACATGGATGCCACTGAGGGATATCAGGGCAGTTCTAGCCAGCCTGTCTCAAAGGACTTCTGGGAAACCTTTGGCAGCAACAACTCCTTAAAGGCCAAGAAGTCTCCTAGCAGTGACAGCTGGACCATGGCAGATAACTCTGCAAAGAAGAGCTCTGACAGTTGGGACAATTGGGGCTCCGAAGCAGCGTCCAACAACAAACACAGCACGGAGGAGAGCTGGGAGGCTTGGGACAACAACTGGGAGAATGCCGATGGTAAGACAAAGACAAAGAGTCCCACAAAGCCCGCTGAGGATGCCTGGGATAATGCAGACTGGTAGTGACCTAACAACCATACCTCTCACATGTTTCCCCTTTTTCTGGCCTTCTCCCTCTGTTCATCTCACTGGCACTTTCAGGGAAAGAGCTGTGTTAGCTTAGTTCCTATCAATCCATAAAAAATTGTATTTATTATGAACCTAAGAAACAATGAAGAAAGCCCAGGGTTGAATAAAGCTCATTATTAAATAAATGTTCTTGAAAAATACAACTATATTGACTTCAGTCATGTATATTATTGTAAATTACCTTCATCACTGGGAATTACGATAGATCAGTGTAGATATGGTCATAAATTTACTGCCTGAACTCCTTATATTATTATATAATTATAAAACTATTAATGGTGAACAAGATGGAGTTCATAGTGTATTATGGGTTTAATGATACTGGTTTTCAATTCACCATGTAAAAATGATGCATGAGATGAAAAATCTAAGATTGTAAATATAATTCCATGTAAATTCAGAATGATTGACTCGACACTAATCACATTAATCACAATTAAATGACTGACCCTCAACCTTTTACACATTTTGTTTTCATAAAATTGATTTTGAAAAGCTTTTTTTTTTTTTTCTACAAAATACTCATTGTAATCATAAAATGTTATATGAGATTTATGGACAAATTTAACTATGAGACAAATTGGCTACCATTAATCAAATATGTTAATAACAATGAAATAATCTAATAAGTCATTTGTTAGGGAGTTCTGTATTATCTGTGTGTGTTTGTGTAGTTTTGTTCTTTTTGGGGTTTTTTTAATTAAAAAGTGCAAATGGTCAAGGGGATTGATAATTCCATCATTTAATCTTCCACCCGGATGTTGAGATTATTATAGATATTGCTTTTGGGTAAATGGATGTTTCATGCTGGCATCATGCAAAAACGACTTAAAACATATTTCATCTAAACTGATGTATATAGTTAGTTACATACATATGACTTGTTGAAACTCATTTTGACTGGATACTACAATATTGTGATACTGTTGATTATAATAATTCACTTTTTACATCCTCACTGTTGATCATTGACAACAGCTCAACACTTAATTGTGATTCCCATTCAGATGCATTCATAACAATGGTCCACAGTGACACTTGATGTATTCTTGCAGCAGTTTGTAATTTATCACATACTTTTCTATTTGACTTCACAACTGAAATTAGGAGGATTTTTGTTTTGTTCGTTGTTTCTTTATCTTATCCTAAAGCTGACTGATGCTGTTTTTAAGGAAACCTGTTGGTCATGAGATGTTGTTTCAGTCATTATTTTCCAGTTTTATGTTGAAGACACAAACATTTGAATATTTTAAATAATCAGTGTTTAAAGATTGTATATAGTAAATTTCATATAAAAACCACTCATTGCAGGTTTGCTGTATATGCTGTGTGTACTGTATGCGAGGTGTGTTTAACCTTGTCATAGAGTGGGAGTGTAGGTTGTTATCTGAATGGGTTTGTGACCGCTGAACCTGTAACTCTGATGAAGCAACCCGGTGTCAAGTCAAGTGTCCCTGCACCTTGTTCGTTATGTATTGTGAGGAGTTGTTGTCTTATCTTCACACCTGTGCTAACATCTAAATTGTGAAGTAATGATAATACGGCTCATTATACGCTGGATAATTAGATAGTCCGCTCTCTGTTATGAATTAATTAAATCAAGTAGTACTGGTGCATCCTCAGTCATACAAAATGAGCACTGTTCATCATAAAAAGCATTTTTCAAGTAGGGATGTAATTAGTGTTAATTTGGAAATCAAGTCTATTTGGTCATTCTAAAATTTAAATTGGCTGTCAGGATTTAGAATGAATACGTTTTGCAGCATGTAACTTCTCTTTGTGGCCTTAGATTCTCTATAACGGAGTGTCTTTTTTCCTACTGTAAAGTTTTGTTTGTATTATGTAATACCCTGCAGATGCTCAGTTTCATAAATTCAGCAAACTGCTCAGATTTAAATCATGCTAGATTCAACAGTTCTTAGTTTCTTGGTAATTTCTACTGTAGAGTCTAAATTTAATGATTAATATCAGAGGAGATACTATCATACTTCAAGTCTTTGAAGTATGATAGTATCTTGAAGTCTTGCTCATTGGCCAGTAGTCAGTCTTGAGCTGCTCACAGGGCAGTGTGCCACTGTTATCGAGCTGCTGGATTATTGTTTGTCATTAGGATGTAAAAACATTTTGCTGTACCTCGACCCTGCATGTGGTCCTCAACAGGCCTTGTGATTGGTCAAATTACATGTTGCTGTCACAGATTGTGACCAGTGAGGGAAAACTTGTGCGAACTTCATTCCATGCCCATTTCCTACCTCTTAAGAAGTCGTCAGTTTGCTGATGAGTCTCCAGTCGTGAACATGTTTTCATTTTTTCTTGTCTCACCCTCTCGGTATGGTTTGGATGTTGAACATTAAAACAGGTTCAGATTGCAGAGACCCATCCAAGCGTGTAACAGCAGTTAGTTTGGTCCACAGTGTTGGTGTGTTTCATCAGTGACAAAACAATAATATAAAAACGTATCACTCCTGAAACATTTGTGTTGCTTAACCTCTGCGGTCATGTGTTCATGTATGCTTGTGTGTTTAACATGCCTTAAACAGCTGTGTTTGCTTTTTGTTAATATCGATGTCAGTTTGCGTGTGTGTGTGCGATACAGTGAGTTGTAAATGTCAGTAAATCATCTATGATAAATTATACATCATTACCCTCAACTTTACTTCCTATTATTGAAGCGTTGTCACTTGTTTGGTATTCTTCTTTTTATTTTCTGATGGTACGTATGACAGATAAATTGCCAGGAAATAAATAGAAGACTGTGCCGTGATGTCTCAGAGTTTAAAAGGGACTGAAAGAGCTTGTACTTCTCAAATGCTGTAGTTTTACTTTTGACGAATGTTCTTTAGGGGTTAAAATCGGAGAATGTCAAATGGAATGAAATGCATCCAATATGTATTGATATAACTTAATAATTTAAAAAAGTATTTTCTTGCCACATAGCCTGAATCCAAACTTTAACTTTCCATAGCAACAGTTTAGCTCAGTGTCTGTGCCTGTCGAACATTTGAGACCGGGTATGTCCGTGCTTGTTGATGAAACTGTCAGAAATACTATTTTTGATGTCATGCATGAGGTGTAACATGGAACTAAACACTTTCAGCTGTTCTTTGATTTCCATACGTCGTTTCCCCAGTGAATTGAATTGCAGTTGTCTGCTTACCCCCCTTCAAGTTTCACCAGCAGCCGTCCCTCGAGGTGAGCCAGTGTTACATGCTCAGTCGAAGCTGTGGATATTTTTCCTGTACACATGGTTTCTGTGTTGAATAAAAACGTATTGTGTTGTGATCGCAATTGTTTTGCTGTCTGTGTCATTTGTTTTCTATGTTGGTGGAGGTATTGATAGAGCAACATTTAGCTTGTTAACCAGCTATCAGATGTTTTTTGTATTTTCACCACTTTCCAAGGGACTCATTTAGGGAACTGATATCTCTGAGTGTGTGGAATTTGGTGCAGCTTCATTAAGACGATGGAGACTCTTGTATCTTGGTGGAGCTTTGTGCTCTACTGAGTGCCTTTTCTTTTAAGTCCTCTACATCTGTAACTTTCAGGGACACGTCACAAAACGACCATGTGAATCAATAAATACTGAGCATGATAAATCAGATGGGCTTGAATGACACAATGTCTCAACACTTTGTCAATGCACTGCAGGGTTTCCACATCTGTGTGTAGCAAGTCTCAAGGAAGCTGCATACAGGCTGTTAAACATATTGATCATCTACTACTGCGCCTTAACAAGTCAAAGATGTGCAGAGAGACAGATGGCTCATAGCTGCACCGCAGGGACAGAGATGTCAGTCTGAGTGTGCACAAATGATGGAGCTGACATATTTACATTGCGTCCCCGCCCATAGGGCGTGGAAATGAGTCTCCTCTCCAAAACTATTTCACCGTGGAGGCAGGGACACTGAGGCATCATCATCCCCATCGATGGCCCGACCACAGGGCGAGTAACACATCGACATTAACAGTAACGTCCAGTCATACAGCTGATCACAGCACAGATCCAGACAGGATCGAGACATGATGTGAAGGAGCCGCCGACACACAGACATGCTGCGGCTTCACTGCAATGGAGGAGCAGACGGTGGACCGGACTGGAAACCATTAGCCGCCTTGTGAGGATCAACGCTGCCGCTGGCTGAAATAACGAGTGAGTCTGAGGGGGTTTAATGTGACTTTCACCGAGAGGAGACAGAGCTGTCTGTCTGTGTTAGCATCTGTCCAACGCACCGCCATTAGCAGGAGCTAGGATTGATTCTGTGTAAGGCTGAAAACGGAGCCTCCGCCTCATCAGTGTGTGAGCTGCCAAAGCTCCAGTGCAGCCTGATCGGCCCCTTTCACCAATAATACATGTTAACAAGTTAGCATTACAGCTTCTCCCACAGGAGGGGTGTGTAATGTGAGGGGATAGCTAACGTTAACGGATCATAATAGCAGACGACACGCAGAATGATAAAAATATAAAATCATAAAGTCTTAAACTGTCTTCGCCATAATGAAATATGATTTATACGTGCGGAGAGGATGAAGGAAAAAAGTTGTTTTTATATCCTCTAATGGAGCAGCCATTTCTCCTAATGAGCGTCACGCCTCCAGAGGGGGCGCCACTCCGCATATTCAACAAGCTAACAAGCTATCAGAAAAGTTGGGCTACATCCACAGAGCGGGAGCGTGTTATTCAAACCAGCCCGGACACAGGCACCAAACCACGGCCTGAGGCAGGTTTAAAATGGCGTCGGAAACATCCGGGTGGCGGTGAGAGAGGAGCTGGTGGCGAGAAGAAGTTGGGGGGTCTTTGTGAGCAGAGGGTCCTCAGATCACACTGTGGCATTTCCATTCAGCCCGCAGAGCCTTAGCAGCTGTTGCTAAGCTACCACCACGAGAGACAGTGTGGAGGAGAGACAACAGTGGTCAACAGCATGAGTCACATTCATACTGTGACATGATGCAGCAGGACCCCTTTAAAGCTCCAGGTGAAACGATCTATTGGCAGAAATTGAATAGAAAATAATCCTAGTGATGTTTTCACGATTGTGTTTCATCTAAATTGTACAAATTGTGGTTTTCTTCACCCTAGAATGGGCCTTTTATTTTGAAATACTTTATATGTACATCTGGAGCGGGTCCTCTCTATGGAGTCTGCCATAAGAACCTTTTTGAGTTTTTATGACAACTGAAGAACAGGTTCATGTTTGGACGGGGAGGGGGAGGAGAGGGATATTCCGCTGCAACATGCAACTTTACCACTAGATGTCACTAAATTCTACACACTGAACCTTTAACGCACATGTTAAGACAAGTTTATCTGAGCAATAATTTTAGGTTTACATTGGGATGTTGATGTACCATCACAATTTCACTGGGACACACAAATAAATCAGAGTCAATTAATGGCTATTTTTCTCTTGTATGAGAAATCTGAAACATTCTAATTAGCTTGCTTACAAAAACATTAAATAATAGTTTAGTTAATAATGTTACACATAGATTTTAATCCATGGTGAAGACGTCTCTGATTCGCTTTGAAATACTTTGGGTGGATCCCGAAGTTAAAATGCATTATTGTGTATAAGACTCAAACGAGTGTGTTTCATTATTAGCTAGAAAGGCACTCGGCGGAGCTCAAACCTCCGCCAAGGCCCAACAGTCACCTTATGATACCACATTTTAATTAACTAGATTCAGATTCGAGTTTTGATATGCACCACATTTCACATACTCATAAATATCAGTCCCTTTAACAAGGCTGATTGTTTTTATCATCGATGAATTATTCTCTTGGAAAACTGAAAATGTTGAGACAGTTTTATAATGTATCTCACAAATTAAACGGGTTATTCCTTTGGTCATACCCCACATCCTCTCAAATTTTATGGAAATTAGTTGAGTGGTTTTTGCGTAATCATGTAATAGACCAAACAAACAAATACTGCCAAAAACAACCTCCCTGGTGGAGTTAAAATATAAAATTATATTTATAGAAAATCCCTGTTTTTCTACAGGATCACATTGACACACGGTGTCCAGCTCCACAGTTAAATAAGTGTGCTGCATCAATACTAAGATACCTAAATGTCTGTGCAACATTCTGTGAATTTTCAGACAGTTGTGCGTGATGAAAATTACAATTAGAACAGAAAACTGTGGGAAACTTTTCAGCAGGCCAGGCTCTCAGATTCCACGTTATGTTGAGGTATGCACAGTCTGCTCGAAGATGTGGAGACTCCATCAGATGGCTGCTTGGAATCTGAAATCAGCTGGCAGCTTTCACACTGACTCTCTCAGCAGCAGAATCCACCTCAATCGGTTGTGGATGATGTACAGCTCATGTACGTCACCTTATCTCAGTCTGGGAAATATTTTCAATTGTTATGTGGTTTATAGCTGCAGAGATAGTTATTATTCATAGTACGACTTGCTTTTTATTTCCTTTAGAGATGTTTTCGTCATGAGGACCCAGTGTCTGCAGCAAAATAATAAACGTGTACAAATGCAATTTTTTAAAGGAGAAAACGAACATGTCAGAAAGATTCTTCTGCAGGAATTCACTGTTACTGATAAATCACTACACTACACTGACTTTGGTTCAGGCTGTTGGTTAGATTCAGAGGGTTTATTTGACATGTAGCAGTCTGGAAATGATTAAGATTTCTTTTCGAATGAGCAGCTGTGAGCCACACAAAGTGTTTTGTGTACTGAAAGCAGCCTGACTGCAAAGAGCCATTTGGAGAGCAGTAGCATCTTTTCTTCTTCACCATCTTCCTCCCAAAACCAGCAGAGTCTGTCAGACAGCTTTGTTACTCTTCCTCCATGTCAGAGCAGAGGGATCTTTCTGATTGCAAACACTGAATTCTGCTGTGTTGTTCTGACTCTGTTTGTCAGAGCTGTTGCTGCAAATAATCAAATAAGTTTGATAAAAAAATGTCCCAGTGAAATTTAGTATTAAAGGTGAAGCCTAACAAGATAATTATCATAGAGATAGGCTCTCTAATCTGAAAAGTGAAACTCTTGCATGTCTAGTATAGGGTTATCATGCGAGTTTGAGCAGATGGCCAGAAAGTTACGTCTCATTTTATTCTAATTTTTTAAACATCTCTGCTCAGATTACATAGAAGTTCACAAGAAGTTTGTGAAGATGTGCAAATAGGGGTTACAGTTCAGCAATAAAATGCAAAACAATATTACTATTTTCCAGGTCCATAGAGACACAGCAGAGTCCAGTCTGCTGAAGCCTTAGTCTAGTCAAGATGTGTGTGTGTGTGGGTGGATTTTGTGAAACGGTCATGCTTATTGACCCCTTCACTGACAGATTCAGTTCATATGAGAGTGCCGGGGTGGAGCAAACATGAGTGTTTGGGTTCTTGCACTGACATGACAGCAATGTGGGTTTGTGTGTTCCCAGAGGAGTGGACACAGTGGTTTCTACAGCAGGGCTGTGAGAGTGACTGACCCCTCAACACATCTCCCCTGGGTGATGTATAACCTCTACTTCATATAATCCTCAAGTTCATCAATGATCAGTAAACCCAAAACACAATATCCTGACACAGTGGCGATGAAGATGTGTTAGACGTGACACAAATTACTTTTTTCCTTCTTTAGGGTTTTACAATAACAGCCATGCCACCACCTGCCGACATCGTGAAGGTGGCTATTGAATGGCCGGGTGCTAATGCTCAGCTCATAGAGATGGACCAGGTCTGTATTTGTGTAGAATATAACATGAAATTAAACTGCTGTACTACATCATCAATGACTATGTCATTTTACATCTTTGTTTTTTTTTCTGTTTGCAGAAAAGACCTTTGTCCTCAATAATACGAGAAGTATGTGATGGGTAAGCATTGATCCTTCATATCCTTACATTTTACTGATGATTTTTTGATTTCAGGTTGTCCCTTCATACGTACGTCCCATTAAGACGCTTGGGAATTCCCTAACATTTGGTACAAATATTCACTTCAACTAAAGGATGCACTGATTAGATTTTGGTGGTACAAGATGATATGTCTAGAACAAAAACAAGGAATCCTTTTGCACAAACATTAACTTGGACTCAAGGATTAACCCACTTGATTTAGTAGCCGAAGATCAAAGGTCATGGTCACAGTGGCTTCACAAAGTATCTCTATGTTTTTTGGAACGTTATATCTTAATGTGACATAATAGGATGTCCTGTTGGGAATTTCATCACATCTGGCACAATTCACTTGGACCCACTGATAAATTGATTAGATTTCAGTGGTCAAAGGTCAACGTCACGGTGGGCTCAAAAAACTAGTTTTTGGTCTCTTGAATGTGATATCTCTGGGTGAGAGAGTTTCTTCAACTTTTGATCGGCTGTCACTTGGACACAAGATAAAGTGATCATGTTTGAGTTGTCAAAGGACAGTGACATTTATATGATTCTGCATACCACAGAGCTGTAGTTGTATCATTATCTTTTATATTTCTGTTCAATCACCAAATGACTGAATATTGGTAAAATCTTCAACGTGTCTTGGCCTTTGGTTTTATTTAGATTGAACTAAAAAGGCAATCATTTAGGTTATTATTATTATGACAAAAGGTGCATTTGTTAATTATGCATAGCTCCTATAAATTAAATTGAGGACTTGAGTTGAAAACTGATGTGGAGCCACTGAAAACCACAAACTTCAGTGGAGCATAGCTAATAAAATGAAATCAATATAACGTGTTTGACTTGTGTGTCTTCTTCATTATTGTGGGAAAAACTGTATCACGACTTCAGGTAACTGTGATAGCACCAGCTCATCTGCTCTGTCGAGTTTTGTGGGTGGAGATATGTCCTCTCCTGATGACTCTTGAAACGGAAAAATCTTTGCACTTCACTGTTAAACACCCACTGAATAATTCTCCTCCGCAATCTCTCTCTGTGTAAATACGACTGCTGCAGGGAGGAGGCTGACTCTCAGCAACCTTTTGTTCATGTGTACTATGCTGCATTTTAACACTGCTGCATTATGGTCCTCTGAGTTTGTGGTAGATACACTCAAACTGAGTTATACCTTTTCTCTCTGTGTTTGTCCTCAGCTGGTCTTTGTCAGGCGCAGAGCAGTTTGCCCTGCGTTATGCCGATGGCCCTCAGCTTTATATCACTGAGCAGGTAAGCTCCACTGTTTTCTCTCTAAACTTCTGTTGATAACTTTGTAAATCACTGTTGATCTTGTACATAAATTCCTCCTCTATTACCTTTTTAGAGCCGTGGTGAAATCAAAAACGGGACCATCCTTCGATTAGCCATTTCTCCTGTGAGTGACACTCCTTCATAGTCCTGTTCAGTTTCGAACAATTTGTTCTGTAATTAATATTGTGTAGTAACTATACAAGGATTGCACACATCAAATTCTACATTTGTGCAGGTCTGTGAAAGATTTTTGAAACTCTAAAATGTGACCTTGTAAGTTTCCTTTTAAGATGCACTGTTTGAGGGAAATCTTTCAGGGTGATGGAATGAAGTTTTCTGGAGTCTGATGATGTCGTAAGCAAAGTTGTTTATTCTAAATACCTGATGCATCAGAGTGTCCAGGCAGATGAGCCGTACAGAAAGTTAACAGTTGTATTGCCACCACTAAATCTGAGCTGTCCTTGCAAAAAAAAGTAAAATAATCACCAAGTCACAGTGGTTGTATACCATTAATCTTCGTGTGGGGCTACTCCTTAACAAAAGAATCGTGTGACTTGATCTAATTTTTCTTGGCTGGTAGCTGCATCCTCTGATACTTACTTCCTCTTTAAATGCACAAATACATCAACTAACCTGTTCTAAGTGCTTTTGACCTGAGGCACAGCATTAAAAACATCATTCATTGGTAAATTCATCATGGATGTGATGTTTCATTTTTTTTATCTGGCTAACAGGCGCGTGCTGCTCGTCAGCTCTTGGAGAGGATCCAGTCCCACGGCATCGACGCACGCCTCGAGGCTCTGAAAGAGCTCGCCAAGCTGTCTGCAGATCCAACCTTTGCTGCAGAGTTCATCAACATGGAAGGCATCGGGACACTTGCACGTCTTGTCGAGAGTGGCACCCAGTGAGCACAGTTTCTGATTTGTGATTACAGTGTGATATTTATTCAGTCTGGAAACTAAACTTCCAATTATGTTGTTGTTACATCTGTCACAAGTTTGCATAATTTTACATGAAGTTATAATGAATTTAGAAGGTGAGTTTATATGAACAGTCAATAACTGTCCTTCACTTCCTTCAGCTTCGGTGAAATGCTGGCCTTCACTCTCACTGCCTTTCTGGAGCTAATGGATCATGGCATTGTGTCCTGGGACCTCATCTCTCTCTCCTTCATCAAACAGGTACCTGCTCCAACAATAGAGTCATTCATCTGACTCATTCGACTTTCACAGAGACCTTGCTGGAGAAATCTCCTTTGTTAAAAGTTACAAGGTCTTTTATTCCTTTTTACTCACATGTTTTTATTTACTTATTTTACTTTTGTCCTGCGTGACGGAAATGACTGGGTCCTTTCTTGACCGCTATATAATTTTTTTTTCTTTAGGAAAAGAGATTTTCATCTTTAACTTTTTGACTTTTAAGGATTACGTAAACTTACACAAGGTTAACACAAACACTGAATGAGCTCAGAGTCGGACTTTTGACATTCACTCAGTTATGTCTATGTTGCATCTTCTCTTCCTCTAATTCAGATTGCGGGTTATGTGAACCAGCCAATGGTGGATGTGTCCATCCTTCAGCGTTCTCTGGCAATCCTGGAGAGCATGGTCCTCAACAGCCACAGCCTCTACCACCGAGTGGCCCAGGAGATCACCGTGGGACAACTCATCGGGCACCTGCAAGTGTGAGCACACACACATGCACAGGGGCTTTCCGCACTCTGTTATGGGGGCTGAGGAGAGAATGTGGTTGTCTGGGGCGACCTAAGAAATAAGATTTAATAAAAGATGTTGTAATATGCTCATGGCATTATTTAAAGGGTGTGTTCTGGATTTTTAGATGAACCCAATCTATTTTTATTCTCTTGTCACAAAATCCACTGAAAAGACCAAAACCAACCAGAAAGTCAAACAGTATGAATCTGTAGTTTTCAGCAGATGTTTCTCAAATGCACTTGCGCAGGACTATTTTCAGCTGTGGATTAATACACATTTTGTGTTCTAGTGAGCGTTTAAAGCAGCAAGACAATAAATGCACGCAATAATCATAATGATTGAATATGTCACCTGGGATCATGTCAGTGTCTCACTGAACATAAACTCTGATAATAAACTATTAGGTTTCTGTTAGTTAGACATTGTTTGTTAGTATGATCAATTGATTGTTAGATTTGGTCTTTTTTGTGGTAATAAAGACATTTCGAATGACATTTTATTATATGTAAGAGGGGTGTCTAACAATCCTGCACTCACCTCAGAAATATTCATGGACTGATAATTAAGATGGACGGGGTGTCTCCACTTCCATCCTGAGTACAGGTGCCGCCATTTTGCGCTTTCGACATCATTTGGAGCAGTAGTGATCATGGTTTGGACCCAGAGTATCAAATTCCTGCTGATACATGCAATTGATCAGTTTCAGCTGACAATCATGTTTCACCCCATTTTTAAATAACGTTTTCGATGAACTAATAACTTACTGGAAAAATGAACATTTAACTACCTAAAATGACACAAACCATCTGTAAGAAATTATATTTGTTTTACTTTGACTTTTTACTTTAGTCCATGTCCCATCAATTAACATGGACTAGGCAGGATAAAGATGTTCTGGATGTCATCTCGGCCATCTTCATATACAGTCTATGGCAGTAGTTACAGTGAGAGAGTAAAAATAAGTGGGATGTAGCGTAGCTGTCTGTGGAGATTTGTGGAGCACGATGCTTCTAACTGGTTGTTATGATGCTGGATGATCCTTTAGGTCGAACCAGGAGATCCAGACATACGCCATCGCTCTCATCAACGCTCTTTTCCTGAAGGCACCAGAGGACAGACGACAGGTCAGTGAACAGTAGTCACAGAGAAAATGACTGAATACACATAATAGGAATACTAATAATGTTCAATCTGCGCATTACATTAAAAAACCCATGCATAATCATTCTAAATTTAGTCATAGTCGTCATATCTTCTTTCGATACCAGAGAGTGGCCTCACCCTGGCTGCTCATGTTTGCAGCAGTAGGTCAGTTAAGGCTAATCTCATGGGTAGATGTCTGTCTGCCAGCTGACATGTTGTGGATTCTGTCTGACAGTCATTGCTGTAATGACAAACTCTCTCTAAGTAGAACTCACCTTCCTTTTAGGTTTGTACATTTGTTTTGCTGTAGATATGTTAGAATAGTTCACAGCAGCCCTCCAGCCATGACTGAATGAGTGTCATAAGCCATATACAGACATGAATGCTGGCAAATGTCCAGAAAATTGGGTCAGGACATTTTCTGGAGTTTGCCTTTCACATATGAAGACAGCAGCAGGAGCTTGTTTGCGCCAAACATGTTCAAAACAACAAGAAAATGTCCAGAACATTTAGATGGTCTCACTCTCACACGTTTTATAAGGGGGCTGGCAGGAAAAGTTCCAGAAAACATAAAGCAGCTACAGTAGCCTATATACAGAAAGAGTTCAGAGGGGATCCATTAATTCTGTTAAACAATTCAGATACATCTAATTAAAAAAAAAAGATTAGTAACCTAACGTTGAATGGTGCAAGTCTATATTCACATTAATATCGCAATTATCCTTCATCTTGATAAAAGAGATACAAAAACAAACAAACAGTTTTTCTGAATCTGAAATATCTTTGAAACACAAGACAAATGTACAAAAACTAAAGGAGTGAGTGCCTTTTTAAATCTATCACTGATCACTAATGTCCCATCTCCCTGAGCTGTGCTCACTTTTATCCCAGCTCACATAGTGCACTAACATACTGCAGTGCCTCATCCTGTTTCATGCTGTTTTGTCCCTGTGTGTGTCAGTGTGTGTTTCTAAAAGATGTTATATTTAATCTGAATATCAATAGAGGATTTGTCTTTAATTTTTTGTCTCAACAACCACTCAACTTCAAACTCTGTGTGTGTATTACTGATGAAACGTGAAGGTGCTGTATTGACTTTACGTTTTTTTGGATGAGCTGTTAATCCTCCACAGACAGTTAATCCAAACTGTACTTGGTGTTACCATGGTAACCATGTTTTCACTCACTTTAGAGACAAGCCATTTATGATTTCACTGACGATCGGTATTGTGTTTTGCTCATTCGAGTCTTACTTTATAAGGAGACTTAAAAGAACAAACTTCTCTATTACTACTTTAAAATTAAATAATAAAGTAGATTGATATTATGCAGAGTGTGTACAACAACTCTATTTATATATGTTTCCTGTGTTGCATATCATATCCAGCTCCAGCGTCTTTATCGAGCCCCTCGGTAGTGATCACTTTCATACTTGCAAATGTCACAAGTGGATGAGATAGTCATGTGTTGCATGTCATTCTGATTCACTGTGACAGTTGTTTTGGCTTCAGTAACTGTCAACCACCATTTGACATTAAATTTAGGGCAAATTAGGATGTAAAAATATTTCTTATCCATAATTTTAAAAAATGATCGAACAAGAACACTTTTCATGTTGCGGTTATTGACCACTGGAGGGGGATCTGAGTCAGTTCTAGTGAGTTAAATACAGCACATACTGTCTGGCTTAGTTGAGTCAGTTTACAGCTGTTAAATACTTCTCACAAAATAAGTCTGCAAGTCTTGCAGCAATGTATAATTAATTAATTAATTTATTTATTAGCCTTTATTTTACCAGGTTGGTTCCATTGAGATTAATGCAATCTTTTACAAGGGAGACAAAAGCAGCAGTATCACAGTTTAAACAGTGAAAGTATTTGATTTGATTTCATGAAACCACATTTAAATTCACTAGATCCAGATTTTCATTTTAATTTACAGAAAAACTTCACAGTCACATAAATATTAGTAGTAATATTAGTCCCTCAAACATTTTTTTTTTCGTCAAGCTGCAGGAATAATTATGGAAAATGCTGAAAAATGCTCTGCTCTCTGATCTGGATTCTTTACCAAAACTTAATGGGTTTCTTTTCCAGTTCTGTCCAAACTTAGGGAACAACAAACTGCAAACAGCTGTTAGGTTGTCTCTCCACTTTTGTGTCTTTTTTAATATCCCCAACCTATCAGAGGCCTTTACCAGAATATGTTTTCATTATCCAGTTTCACTTTACCTGACATCTGCCAACCTGATTTCCTGTAATATGAAGCTGGTTATCAACAGTCCTAGCAAATGCTGGCTTTTCTTATCCAGAAGCAGTTCATGTGTTTTGAGCCTGAAGTTACTCCATAGTCGAGGCCCCATGGCTCAATGATTATCATCTCTGGGACCCCGCAGTGACTGTCATGCATCAGTATTGATATAAAGATCACCTTCTCCTCTGAGGGCTGTTTAAAGCATGTGAGGTTTTATTCGACATAGTGCTGTTCTATGTCCGTATTCTGTTGCATGCTGTGCCAGTGATGTATCCCTGTATCTCATGGTCCGTGTTTCCATTACTGTTACTCCCATGTCCCTCCTCCCTCCCTTCAACCCGTAGGAGGAGTATACTAACCCACTGGAGCAGCACCTCACTGTGAGTACACATCCCGCAGCATCTCATACCGTCCTCTCCGCCCCACAGCCCTTCTCCTCCCTCACTCTCTCCTGGTGTTTCTGAGTCATGAACAGCCTCTGCGTAATCCATGCAAATTGAGAAAGAACCATAGCTTGCTGCAGCAGCAGACAGACTGTGTTGACGTATTGAAGTTAGACCGTGTTGCCATGTATTAGGCAGGGAGCAAAGAGTTCAAACTAGAAATACAAATAAATAGCTTCAGGATGTTGCTCGATTCCAGTAATCGTTTTAAATTCCCATTTTCTGTTGGTATATTTGAAGTGAGGTCTTCCCACTTTTCTGCTCCTTCCTTCCTTCCTGCTCTTTCTGACCTGTGTGTTGGATTATTGTATCTCTTACTCTCAGGAAATGGCGAGCACTTTGGCCCAGAAACACTTGCGATCCATCATCCTCAACGTGAGTATAAAGTGAATGCTCTGCTCGACTGGCTGTTAAGCTTCCAGACAGATGTGAAATACACAGGAGTGAATTTGAAGCTCTTGGAGACTGTTTTGAATCAAGTCATTGCAAAAAAACTTTATAAAAATACAGAATATTTCTCTTCAGTCTTCTTTGAGACTCTCTGTTGGGTTTTGTGGTCATTTGAGGTCTGAAAGTTTCAGCCCTGAGACAAAGCAGTTCAGAAAGCGATAAAGCTGTACTCACTTGGGGAGCTGTGACACAAAACCAGCAAATTTGATATGGCATGAAGTCCATGAAGTGGAACAGAGTCTGCTCTGAAAATAATTCCTTTTGGCACCAACTCATCTGGATGTGGCTGCAAATATTAGTGAGGAAGACGCTGCAGTCCTGAGTCCCAGAGCCAGGAAACCTTCCTGCAGCACTGCACGCTCTGACGTACGATTTAATGAGACCTGGTTAACTGCTGGGTGCTCCCACTGTCTCTGTTATCACCTGTGTAAAGGCAGAATTTCAAAAATCACTTCAAATGTTCTTGACAGACGATTGCACATGCTCTTCAGCTTGTTAAAGGACAATCGATCAGGCTTTTCATTTTACGTTCTAGGGATGGATTTGTTTTTGTCCTCTATGATTTATTCATTGGTTGTTGGTGCACAAATTTCAACCTATGTAGAGATTTCGCTCCTTACTAAAGTTCTTCTTTTCCAGCATGTTATAAGAGGAAATCGACCAATTAAGGCGGAAATGGCACACCAGCTGTATGTGCTGCAGGTGTTGACCTTTAACCTTTTGGAAGAGAGAATGATGACCAAAATGGATCCTAATGACCAGGTAAAGATTTTTTTAAAGTTTCTTAATGTTTTTCTGCTGTTCAATTCAAACAACTGTATGTCGATATTATGTCCTCTTGTTTTGCCTCAGACCCAGAGAGATATCATATTTGAGCTGCGTAGGATTGCCTTTGATGGGGAAAATGACCCCACTGGCACAGAGAAGAGAAAGGCCATGTACACCAAGGACTACAAGATGCTGGGTTTCACTGTGAGTCTTCAGATCTCAATTTCTTCTGTTTGGGGAGAGAAAGTAGAAATATAAATAGATTATGTTTTTGAACTGCTTCATTGTCTCCTCCTCATATTTTTTCTTTGTTAAGAACCATGTGAACCCAGCGATGGATTTCACCCAGACTCCTCCAGGGATGCTGGCTCTGGACAACATGCTGTACCTGGCCAAAGTTCACCAGGACACGTACATCAGGGTTAGTTTTGGCCTTGGGCATCACTTCTCACAGCTCACAAAGGCGTTGAAGTCAACCACACCTAACTTGTCTCCTCACTCATGACAGATTGTCTTGGAGAACAGTAGCCGAGAGGACAAGCACGAATGTCCCTTTGGCCGGTGTGCCATCGAACTCACTCGAATGTTGTGCGAGATACTCCAGGTTGGAGAGTTACGTAAGTAGAAGTGTGTAACAGTAGATGTAACTCGTGTACTTTTATCGAACAGTTGTCTCGAAATGGGATAAATACTAGTGTCCTAAGTGTAAAGAAACAAACCACATAACTGCATTGTTCACTGATCGATTTCCTGGCCAGGAAACACTCTCTGACCTTGTTTTGTTTGTCTCCTTCTATACTGTAAGGCACAATGCCAAAAAATAATCTTTAAAATATGATGAAGGATGCTTCTTTCACTCTTCTTTCGCACAATTATTTCATTTTACAATGTAAATCTTTTCTTTTCTTAGCTAATGAGGGCTGCAACGACTACCACCCCATGTTCTTTACCCATGACCGTGCGTGGGAGGAGTTCTTCTGTGTCTGCATTCAGCTGCTAAATAAAACCTGGAAGGAGATGAGGGCCACAGCTGAGGACTTCAACAAGGTGTGGGATTAAAGAACTCACAATTGTCTTTAAGATATTCATATTTATATACATGTTTACATTTCCAGCATAACCTTCATTGTATGCTTGGGTGTCAACTCAAACATCACAGATATATCGCACAGTGTCTTCGGAAAGTATTCAGACCCCTTCAGAGTAGTAGTTCAAATTGTGTTCAAGTGTATCCGTGTTTGCATTAATTTTCCTTCAGTTGTGTGAGAACTTGACTGGAGTCGAATATTGAATTGTCAGAGTGGACTAAGACCATCAAAGCAATAGTTCACCAAAAAATGAATTCACTCACCTACTCACCACTATGCTAATGAAGGGGTGGATGAAGTGTTTGAGTCCACAAAACACTTTTGGAGTTTCAGGTGTAACAGCGTTGTAGCCAAATCCAATACAATTGAAGTAACTGGTGACCACTTCTTCAAACAGAAAAAAACAACAGAAAAAAATCTTAAACTGCCTCCATAATGATCCTGTGGTGTCATCCAAGTGTCCATAAGCCCTGACATTCAAATTCGACTTGAAACGGCGCTTACTCCATGTTTTTAGCCTAAATGTCCACTGTTATCCTCCTGCCTGGAGGCGCTTTCACGTTCGTGCCCCTTGGGCGAGAGCTATGAGGCGAGAGCTTGTGCTGCGCTGTTCACCCCCTCAATCGGCATAGTGGTGAGTAAATAATGTATGAGTACTGAGTGAATTTTTCCTTTTCCCTTAATATTAACATTTTAAATATTGATATCTTTCGATAGGCAAAGATTTCTAGTTTCTAAATGTGGAAAATAGGAGTTCTGTGAATTATAACTCAAGGTCCTTCATGGTTCAAAAATATTGCAAGCAGATCGGAAAATGTTACCAATCATGATTTTTCCTCAATCATTCTTGTGTGCGTCTGTGCATGTTAACCGTGACCAGGTGATGCAGGTGGTGCGTGAGCAGATCACCAGAGCTCTGGCCATGAAGCCGTCATCTTTAGACCAGCTGAAGAATAAACTGAGAGGCCTCAACTATTCAGAGATCCTGCGTCTGCGGCAGTCAGAGAGAATGAGCCAGGATGACTTCCAGTCTCCACCTATCATGTACGTCTGTGTCCACAACACAATCTGTGATTTAACTGTTATATTCTTAAACTCTTTGTTTCTATCATCCCTGGACATTCACAGCAGTGTACTTTACCTAAATGGTCACAGTATTGCATCATTAGCAACAGATTGCTGCTCAAATCCACACTCAGCTCTATAAGAGTAATCATAGATAGTATAGTATCGTACACATGTGTGTGCGTTTGTCTGTGTTGTTGAAGCTGTGTTTGTGTCACAGCGAGCTGCGGGAGAGAATTCAGCCCGAGATCTTAGAGCTCATCAAGCAGCAGCGATTCAACCGACTGTGTGAGGGAAGCTGCTTTCGTAAGCTGGGGAACCGCCGAAGGCAAGGTATTCACACGCCATCAATACCGTCACTCACTCAGCTTGTTACTGCTGCTGTTGATTATCACCTAAGCATTGTATTCACTGTCTCTACTGTAGAGAAGTTTTGGTTCTGCAGACTCTCTCTGAATCACAAAGTGCTCCACTACGGGGACCTGGATGAGTCTCCTCAGGGTGAAGTGCCTTTTGAACTCCTCAGTGACAAAAGTAAGACACATTTAAACCCTTTTTTATGGCTTCATCTTCCTGAAACAAACCTTTTATAACACACAATGTGAAACTGTCCTTAACAGACCATGCATTAATTCTGTCTTTTGGATTCCTCATAGTCCCTGTATCAGATATCAAGTCGGTGGTAACTGGGAAAGACTGCCCTCATATGAAAGAAAAGAGTGCTCTCAAACAAAACAAGGTAGTATTATTTTTACAGTTTTTTGTTTCTTGTCATTTGCGTTGTTCTCTCAATTTTCCTGTGACCCAGTGTAAATACAATGTGTTGTCTGACTCTCTCAGGAGGTGCTGGAGTTAGCCTTCTCTGTCCTCTACGATCCCGATGAGACGCTCAATTTTGTTGCACCAAACAAGTATGAGGTAAGCTCTGCAACACTGAGGCTTAAAGCTGCACTACTCCGTGTTGTTGTGATGTTTTCACACGGGTGCCTTTTTAGTCTGTTAAAATCAAACTGCCCTTTCCCCCTTGGTGTGATTTGTTTGGGCAGTTGGACACAAGTTGAGATACTCATTAACTGATTCCGATTTGAGCAAATTAACTTTAAGTGTGTAAATGATGATACGAACAATAGATTCAATATGTTGAATTGGAAAAGAGCTTGACAATATTATCCCCTGACTCTTTGGTTCCACTTAGCACTATGGACCATTTTTTTAGTGTGATGTCTTTCAGCTATTTTGGTTTTCCAGCTCACAGTTTCACCATCAAAAAGCCCTCAGAACACCACTTGCTCAGCAACAGTTCACAATGTTAGAAACTACCTAAACATAGCGGAGTAAAGAGACTGTGAATATTGGATCATTCATCAAGGGGCCATAAAAACCTGTCAATGATATAATTGCTGCTGTCTGATTTCTATTTATAAATTAATAATCGTTTGTTTATATGTATAACAGATATGTGAAGTGTTGTGTTGCCAGTTTGTTCTGCTGCCTCCCATTGGCCAAGCTGATCAGCTTTATCTATAATTGCTTGGATTTATTAGTATTACACCAAAAAACAATGGCCCCATACACACATGGTATTAACATGTGGCTTTTGTGATCCAACCTGGATCCGGATCTCTCAGGACGGATGTTAGTACCAGGTGTGCACAATATCTTCTCAGTCTGATCCAAATGTTTTGACACAAATCAACTAACGGACTGACACACAAGGTATCCCCTATATACTGTAGCATGCAACACCTGTTGTGACAAAGAGTTCTTCATCCTTAATGTGTGTGTGTATTGCGTTGTGTTTTTTGGAGCAGTACTGCATCTGGACCGACGGCCTGTGTGCACTGCTGGGCAGAGAGATGGGCAGCGACCTCACACGCAGTGACCTGGACACTCTTATCAGCATGGAAATGAAGCTCCGCCTCCTTGACCTTGAGAACATCACAATCCCAGAAGCCCCTCCCCCTGTCCCGAAGGAGCCTAGCTCGTACAACTTCACCTACAACTACAGCTGAGATGTGTGTGTGTGTGTGTGTGTGTGTGTGTGTGTGTGTGTGTGTGTGGGAGTGTGTGCACGAGTATGCATTTGCTCTGCATGTGTCTGTTTGTTCAGGATGAGAATTCTCTCTCTTTTCACAAGTTTACCTGCAAGTATTTGGGCCAGAAAATGCTACTTTCGAATTTTACTTTTCACAACATTGGAGCCTTCTCTACTTGATGCCCTATGGTTCATCATGTTGAAGAAATTTGTTTATAACTTCAGAGGGAGGTCAGGGTACTTTTACAGAGAAGTTCTCCTAGAGCTGGTAGAGATTTAGTGATTGAATCTTATTTATCAGTCCGGTCTCCAGAAAACATCTTGATTTGTATTCTCTGCTCTCAACTACTTAAAGGTGTAAACCTGCATGCAAAGTGGAAAAAACACTTTGCCTGATGGTGAATGTAGATTAAAAATCTGCAAATCAGACATTATTCAATTATATTTAGGTAAATAATTTGAAATTATTCAAATGTTGGCGTATTTGGTCTCCTTATTAGTAAGATATTAAGCTACCATTAAATACTGCATTCACTTTAATTCTGTCTGTTCCTACACATGAAGGAAGGACACAGAAATGTCACACAGTAGAAATGTGTTTCGAGTTTATACACTCAGAGTCCTGCACCAGGTCACTTCAGTCTCTCTTCAGTAAGAGACACCGCTAATGTCCCAGTACACATGTTTCTGGATAAATGAGTTCAACCCTCTGTTCCTCATTGTGCTGCTTTCTGATGGTTCAACAAGACAAATCAAAAACTAAAAATGTATCAGAGAAGAAGTGAAAGAAGCAGTGAAAGTGCAAGGATAATCCGTTGTTCACATTCTGTGACAGAAGAGTGTAGGACCACTAATGATTATTT